GTGGCCTTCAGGGGTTCTGGGGGGGAATGTCTGCAGCACAGAGATGCAAGAACTCTAGGTGAAAGTTTGCTGGGGATGAGCAGGGCCGTGACAGTGGTGTGACTGTTGCTCTGACTTGGGTGCTGGCCACCCATCGTCCCAACCCTAATTCCCCTTGCCTCCAGCAACAGCCCCTGATCTAGGATGGGAATCCATTCCTTTCCACTTTCTTAGATGATGTCATGTTTGCTGGCTGGCCAGCATCAGCTTCTGGAGAGCCCATTCCTTATGGGAATTTTGGGGGCAGGCAGAGTCTTCTGTGTTGCTTGCAATAAAGAGTCCCGACACACTCACTCCAAGTCCAGGTGGCCCGGGTGGGGCTGCACCTCCACTCCAGAATGAGCACATAGGCCAGGCCAAAGCCAATGAGCAAACCCCATTGCCTTGGCTGAGGCCATCATGTTACCTACCTCTAGGGAATGTCATTCTCTCCCAGAGTCTCTCTGCTAGATTCAGAATTGTAAAGCTGGAGCCTCTGGCCACTTTGTCGCCTCGGAGGGAGAGCCTATTTGAGAATGCAGTCAATCCCGAAAAAGCATGTCCTGGTGGCATTGTGTTAGTCCCTGCCCCAGGCACCTGGGAAGCCAGCATTACCTCTGGACACTTCAGTTATCCAAGTCTCTAAGGTGGGTCACTGACATCAAGGAAGCCGCCAGGCTTCCCAGAGGCCTGGACAACCGTGCAGGTGTTAGTTTCCTACGGCTGCTATGACAAATTACCACAAACATAGTGGCTTAAAATGGATTTATTATCTTATACAGGCATCTAGTTCGGAGCTGCTGCAGGTTCTGTTCCAGACCACTGCAATAGAGCAAACATCACAATAAAGCAAGCCAAATGAAGTCTTTGGCTCCTTACTGCATATAAAATTATGTTTACACTTTACTGGAGCCTATTAAGTGTGCGATAACATTATGTCAAAAAAAAAGTGATGCACACACCTCAATTTTAAAATACTTTATTGACACAGAGACATGAAGTGAGCAAACGTTGTTGGAAAAATGGCGCCGATAGACTTGCTCAACTCAGGGTGGCCAGGAACCTTCAATTTGTAAAAAACACATGATCTGGGAAGTGCCATAAAACAAGGAGTGCCTATGGTTCTGGAGGCCAAGTCAGAAACCCAGTCAGTCAGCAGGGCTGTATTTCTGGAAACTCTGGGGGAGAATCCGTCTCTTTGCCTGTCCTAGCTTCTACAGGCCATCCCCATTCTTCGGCTTATGGCCCTACAGTGCTCCAACCTTTACCTACGTTACCTCTCCTTCTTGGACTTTGACACTCTGGCCTACCTCTTTATGAAGGCCCACCCAGATCACCCAGAATAATCTTCCCATCTCCAGATCCTTAATCACACCTGCAAAGTCCCATCTGCCATGTAAAATAACCTCATCACAGGCTCCGGGATTAGGACATGGACTGTGGGGACCACTATTCAGCCCACTACAGAGCTCAAAGACTTAAGAGGACTCTTCTTGCGCAATCCTGGAGACCGGGGATCGAATCCCACGTCGGGCTCCCGATACATGGAGCCTGCTTCTCCCTCTGCCTGTGTCTCTGCCTGTCTCTGTGACTATCATAAATCAAAATCAAAATAAAAATAAAAATAATAAAGTAGCTTAACAAAGCACAGTTAATTTAAAAAAACTATATTAATACTGTTATCTATTGAATACCTACCATGTGCCAGGCACAGAAGGAAAAAAACATTATTGACACCATGTGGGGAGGTTATTTGCCCAGTTGGGAAGCAACAGGGCACACCCGAGCCCACGTGTCTCCCTTGAAAGGCATTGATGTCCGAAGAGGTTGTATTTCTTCCCTCAGTGACAGGAAGGCAGACCCTAGTCTAGGACTGGGTTGAGATGGGACACCTCAGAGGCACTCTGCACCCTGGACGCTACCCTTGGACACCCTCCATGCTGAGCAGCCTCACCCTTTGGCACAGAGAACTGACAAAGCCTCTGATCTCCTTACAACCTAAGGGAATCTTATCTGTTCTCAGTTCTGGTAACTCCCCCACCCTACTGACTATACCCTTTGGGCTCCGGTCCTGTATCCAGGGGACAATTCTGAGCTGGTGCAATGAGAGGACACAGCGGACTCCTGAGACAGGCCTGGGATTTGGAGTGGTTGTAGGATTTTACCAAAGGCTTGACAGGCTAGAGAAAGAAGAGCTATATTTATAGATTGGCCTTCCTCAGACTTGTCAACAAATTCCCTCCAAATGCATGTGTAGAGGCAGATAAAAATACAAAAGAAACGTATGCCCTACATAGGCAAGAGATTTGATGAGTTCACCCCCCTGCTGCAAGAACAATCAACCACCAATACATCAGGGAAGAGAATTTCATCTTCCCAATCATTTAAAGCAAGTTGGAATTGTTTATGATGAAAAGTGGCCAACGGTGAGATAAAAAACATGACCGGCAAGGGAGTGAGGTGACAAGCTGCAGAAGAAGCGCCAGAGGAGGGGCCTGAGCTCAGGGACCCTGGTGACACAGCAAACAACGTTGGACTCTTAAGAGTCGATGCCATGAGTTCACCGGTGTCTTGAGTGAAATCTAGAAGTGTATGATCACCTCTTCTTGTGTCCTAGTTTGGAATCTCCAAGTGATGTATGTCCTAATTCTCAACCTGCTACCCTGAAAACCTAGCAATGAGTGACAGCAGGACTTGATGTCACCTATGTAGAAAGAAGTACATGGATGAGGTAAATCTAATTCTCAGTATGAAGATTTCAGCAGTTTTGTACTCATGACAACCTGTGGATTAATTTAAGGAGCTTGAACACACAAGCAAACCCGGCATATATTCGCGTTGGGGTTTTTATCTGGAATGCGGAATTGAAATTAGATGCGTGATTTTCATTTTGGAGGTATAAGAGAATTGTTAGTAAACAGCTTTGAACTGCTCCAGAGAACTTGATTTACATTTATAATATTCCAATTGCTTTGTGCTGAGCAAGAATTTGCTGCTTCAATTTGAATTTGCCTCAAATGGGAGTCTGATGTACTGGAAAGAATTATTAAAATCTGCAAATATGTTTAAAATAGTTACAGGAATTATTTAAATGGGGAGATTTAAATAGGGTTGTTTGGGGGAGTGGTTAACTGTTACATGTATGAATGATTAGGGCAAGCAAGAGTGTTTTTATTTTTACAGAAAAAATGACATTGTCAATATAATAAGACATGTGATGACCTAAAATGCTTAAGAAATAGATTTTTGAATTTTTACCTCTTTAACAGATTGAACTTTTAAAGTAACTATAGCCATTTGCACACATACAAGCACACTTGAATACTGAAAATATCCAATCAGGGTATTTCTCTAAAGAATGGACTCAATAGGGATCCCTGGGTGGCGCAGCGGTTTGGCGCCTGCCTTTGGCCCAGGGCGCGATCCTGGAGACCCGGGATCGAATCCCACGTCGGGCTCCTGGTGCATGGAGCCTGCTTCTCCCTCTGCCTGTGTCTCTGCCTCTCTCTCTCTCTCTCTCTGTATGACTATCGTAAATAAATAAAAAAAAAATTAAAAAAAAAAAAAAGAATGGACTCAATAAGCACACTTTCATTCAAATGAACCTCAACAATTCTTTTCTAAAGTGAGCAGTGAAAAAGTCGATTGATCATACCTCTAGAAACTGTGCGTTGGGGACACCTGAGTGGCTCAGTGATTGAGTGTCTGCCTTTGGCTCAGCGTGTGATCCTGGGGTCCTGGGATGGAGTCCTTCATCGGGCTCCCTGCACGGAGCCTGCTTCTCCCTCTGTCTCTGCCTCTCTCTCTGTGTCTCTCATGAATAAATAAATAAAATCTTAAAAACAACTGTGGGATGGTAAAGAGCTTGTACCTTGTACCCAGGAAACTTTCTGGCTAGAACAATTTCTCCCTCTCCTCAACTCTTATAGCACTGTGCCCTCGGTTGGACTCATCTGTAAATAGCTAAAATAGGGCATCTTGTGTATTAGCCTCTCTCAAAAGGACTTTGACCCTGAGACCAGGCTCTGGCCTTGTTCCACAGCAGATGGACACTGAGCATTCACTGGACATTTTTTACCAGACAGTGGTAAAACCAGTGTCATTTCCCAAAGCAAATGCCAACCTCTACCTCCATGTCCTTACTTCTGAACAGTCCTCTTGGCTCTTTCCCTGGACAAGTGAGTATTCTAGAATGTTCTAAGATTCTAGGAGCTCTGTATTACTGCATTGGCTTTCCCTTTTTTTAAGAAAAAGATTTTATTTGAGAGAGAGAATACAAGGTGGGGGGAGGGGCAGAGGGAGAGGAAGAAGCAAGCTCCCTATTTGGGAAGCCTGACGCAGGGCTGTATCCCAGGACCCTGAGATCATGACCCGAGCTGAAGGTAGACGCTTAACTGACTGAACCACCCAGGCTGAACCACCCCAACTGCAGAACATTTTGAATAGCAAGGGCCGAGGGGACTCTTACTGAGACAGTTCGGTGTGTTCCCCTGTAGCAAAAATAAAAGGAAGGAGGGCACACGGATGTCACCGAGCTGTCCAATGCCAGAGAAAACAAAAGCAGGGCTTATCATTAGAGTCCCTTCCTTACACATCCATGACCTCATCTTCAACTCATAGGAGCCTTCTGAGGAAATCACCTTTTCTTGTTTAAAATACTGATAGCAGGGCAGCCCCGGGGGCTCAGCAGTTTAGCACCTGCCTTTGGCCCACGGCCTGGTCTTGGAGACCCGGGATCGAGTCCCACGTCAGGCTCCCTGCATGGAGCCTGCTTCTCTCTCTGCCTCTCTCTTCCTCTCTCTCTCTCTCATGAATAAATAATTTTTTAAAAGTCTTAAAAAAAAGTAGATAGCAAGGTGTATGAGAAATGAATGCGCCAGGGTCAAAAACCTTTTAGGGTTGGGTACAGGTGCCCCATATCATCCTTGACCCCACGCACACTTCTGGAAAACGGTAAGCAAGGAGCAAGGCAAGAGCCATCATGGGAGTGCTGTTGTTTTAATATGGTGTGTGACAAACAATATCAAAGTTATCTACACTCTCCAATCTCATTTTGACCATTTCTAATAGGTAATATTAAAACTAAAGGGGAAAAAAGTGTGTGCTAACCATACCTCTGGACTTAAAAATGAGAAGATAAGACACATAAATTCTCTTCCTTAAAAAACAGCCATTTCAAAAGATTTTCTTTAATATCATAAAATATTTTCATGGACAAGTGAGCTAGCAAACACACATGCACCAATGTGCCTTCTGACAAGATCCCCCCTGACCCCCACCCTCCCACCCCCACATCAAGGTGGACATGAGATTGGAGAAATGAATACAGCAGATGATACACAGAGAGAAAAAAATCGATAAAAAGTATGGAATAGAACATTGTGCTTGGTTATTTTCCTATGTCACAACAAAACAAAACGTTTCGGTGCAAACAGTTAATTTTTCCTCTTTTCCATTTAAGTCTGGTGGAGAAAAAAATACTTTTTCTATAATAAAATATGTGGTTTTTTTTGTTTTTGTTTTTGTTTTTTTTTTTTACTTTTTTTAACATAACTTTTTTTTTTTTTTCTTTTTTGCAGAAAATAATTTTGTAAACTGTCACTTGGCGGGCAGGGAGGCTCGATGCCACGTGGGGTCCCAGCTGGTGCCCGGCTGGAAGCTGAGCAAGGAGACCTAACCCGGGCGAGAGAGGGGGGCAGCGGGGGGCGCAGGGCGGGGGGCGTACAGCGGGCAATGAGGGCGCTGGCCGGGGGCAGGTTAGAGGTCGCTCTCGCCGTACAGCGCCGTGGAGAAGGACATGTAGTCCAGAGCACCTGGCACGGCGTCGGGGCCCGAGTAGGGGGCCATCCGCGCGATGCAGTACTCGGCCTGGTCGGGGGGCAGCTCTCGGCGCAGCTCGTCCACGGTGATGTAGTTCTGCGGAGAGAGCGCAGGGTGGCCGCGGCCACCATCGGGTCACTGGAGGCAGCGGTACCCCAACCCGACCCCGTCCCCTCCCTTCTGCTTCTGGTTAGAGAGGGGTGTGCGCACACACATCCACAGGTGTATCACGTACACACGTGTTTAGGAGGCTACACATGTGTGTATTTACAAAATATACATTCATTTTAAATCTGTTTGCCATGTCCATACATATGCTGGCCTGCTTCTGAGCTAATCCAAGTGCTAACTGCACCTCTAATTTCATGTATGACTCTAGTCTGCAGTAGCCACGGACTAAAGCAACACCAGCAGGTACTCTGGTGAAACATAGTGGGACCCCGCACCAGCTCAAGCGAGCGCTCTGGAGGTCGTGTAATTTCAGCAAAAACGGTGAGCATCCAAGTGGGACATCACCAGGCAGACAGCTGTGTCAACCATGTTTATAAGATGTGGGCCTGCCCCCACCTGGCCTCGCTCCCAGTCCCAGTCTCTGCTTGCCCATGGCAGGTCTACTGGGGAGTTGCTTATTTTGGGAGTTTTAGGCTCCAGAAGTGCTCAATCGGAGGCTCTGACCCACAGGGTGGCCCCCAACCCCATGGCCCACCTCTGCCAGAGTCCCCTAGGAACTGGTGGGACTCTGGCAGAGTCCCAAGTCTCAAGAAGGTGGGGTTGCCCTCAGGTCACTCCAAAAGTCAGGCAACTAGGCTCCTTAGGGTCATTCTGGCTCCAAGGGCTAGGGCTCTACTAGGGTGTCCTTGAACTTAAATCAGACCTTTAGAAACCTCCATAGGTTGTCTTTTTCCCTTATAGATCGACACATTTCAGAAATTAATGCTCCCCACTGGCTTTTGCTTTTTATTAACTGAATCTTTTCAGTCTGAAGGAAGGGTGGTATAAGGATCACCCTATGGATTTTGTACAAAGGAAATATGGCCTCTAGACATCCCCCGCTTGGCCAGTTTCCCCCGGTGTTCCCACTTTCCCATGGCCAGGCAGGGCTTTGCGGGGAACTTGGGAAATTGGGAAACTGAACTGACTGCAGCTCCAGGTCGACAAATGAGAGACATGCTTCCCTCCTGCTCCCCGCCATCCTTCCACGCCGGTGCCCAGAGTGATGTAAGGGTGAAGTCTGAGTTCTCCGATCGCCCTTCCATCACTAGGGTACATACCCACTCCCCTCTACCCAGCTCTACTCTCATCACTCCATCCCATGAGTGAAGGAGTCCCGCACCCTGGCTGGAGACCCCTTTAAGCTCATATTGTGTCCTAACACAATCTGATCCTAAAGCATTACAAAAATCGATAGAGGTGGACAGCCGTGGGAGGCCCAGTGGGAGGAAGGAGCCACAGTGAAGGAGGCCCAGTGGGAGGAAGGGGCCACAGTGAGGGGAGGATCTGACCTCCCCTCCAGATCCAAGTAGCCCCTGCACAACACCCATGCCATGGTAGACCCACCTTGTCCCCAGCCAGGATCTTGAAGGAGGCCATGACTTGGTCGGCTGTGTCTGTGTCGGCCGTCTCCCGAGACATAAAGTCGATGAAGGCCTGGAACGTCACTACCCCCAGGCGGTTGGGATCCACGATGCTCATGATGCGGGCAAATTCTGCCTCTCCCTGGAGAGAAGAGCCAACCCAGGCCTGTCATCCTCTCAGCCACAGCCTGCTGGGAATCTCTCATATGGACCTGAAGCCCCTGGGGCTCAGAGTAGCCTGAGGCTGTTAGGGGGAGCACAGCAGCCCCCTGACCTAGCCTGGGCTGTCCTGAGGGCATCACAGGGACAAGACACCCAAGAATGAAGACTTAATTCAGGCCTCCCAGCCCCACTCACAGGTTCCCTCAGGAGCAAAGAGTGACAATGCTGACCACAGCTATCATGGCTGCCAGCACACGGCACGTACTGGTGCAAGAGGCACTCTTCCAACTGCTGCATGTGTTTCATTTCATTTCACCCTCCCCACCACCATATGACACAAGTCATTATTATTTCCATCAGGTTTCCAGATAAGAAACCTGAGGCCCAGACAGGCTTGGTGACTCATTCAAGGTCACACAGCCAGTAGGCAATAGAGTTGGGATTTAAACTTGGATGGTCTGGCTCCAAGGCCTGTGTCCTCCCTACCACGCTGTACTCCCTGTGTGTCAGACACATGTGCGGCACCCATGCAAGTTCCTTCATTTAACCCTGACCACAGTCCTGCAGGGTTTCCCTCACCTCATCCCAGTCCCCAAGCTGGGGGTGGCAGGGCTAGGACCTACTCCTGGGTTCACTGTGTCTAGAGCCTGTGCCCTTGCCCTGCCCTGGGCAGCCCACAAGCTCTGCATTTTGCACCATGGCCCAGGAGTTGCCTGGCTGCCCAGCTCAGGCCCCTGCTCTGCTCTGCTTAGAAGGCCTGCCTGAGGGCAGACAACTGAGAAGGTTGTGAAGGCCAAGGGGTGACAGGTGGGGCTGGAGCCACCACCAGGGCAGAGGCAGAAATCTCTGTGCTTCATAAAAGATGGAAGTAGAGTCAAACCCGACCCAGGAAATCCAAACCACCAGTCCTTACTGTTAGCCTTGGAGCCAGCCCTGCTATCCACCACGTCAGTGAAAAAGTCCATCTCCACAGTAAGTACCAAAAAATACGCCAGCAGAGACCAAGGTGAGAAGGCCAGACAGACCTCTGGGACACACACAGGCCACGAGGCTGGGCCCCGCCTTCGGGGCGTCATCTTCCCACAGACCAGAATCTTGAGGCCCCTCCAGGGAGAGCAGCCCCTAGCCTGAGAGCTTCCAGCCTGCCCTGGCCTGGACTTGGCCTCTCTGGCCAGCTGGCTGGCCCTCGTCAGAATAGAGGGTGGGGTTTACATTACCATGTTGTAACCCATGGAGATAAGGCAGGCGCGGAAATCATCCGTGTCCATCATGCCTGTCTTCTTCTGTGGGGGCAGTGGCACCAAGACACAGGAGGGTCAGAGGCAGGAGGAGGAAGGGCCAGCCCAGGGCCAGAAGACAGGGCACAGAAGGCCGGAAGGGGAAGTCGAAGTGTATGGTTGGGGGGTTAGGGAGGGAGAAGAAACACAGGAGACACATCCACAGGGAGGAGAGAGGAGGGAGATGCAGAAGTCCGTCCACAGGATGGAGAGTGACGAGGAGAGAGGGAGGTGGGCCCCGAGCAGGTTCCCACGAAAGACGATCGAGGGCAGAAGTCAGAGGTTGAAGCAGTGGGAAGAGGAGCCCGACATGGGCCCAGTAGGGACAGTGGGAGAGGATGAGCCCCAAGGCCCACAGGAAAGGGGAGACAGGGAGATCCAGACAGAGAGAGAAAAGAAAAAGGAGAAACGCGTTATTTCTCGCCCCGGATGCCACCCCTGAGCGTGCTCCATGCAGGAGGCGAGTACCTGGGGGTCGTTGCCAATATCATAACCCAAGCTGATGAGGCAGGCTTTGAACTCCTCGGGACCCAGCGTGCCGGAGTGATCCTGAGGCCGCCGTGCGCCAGGCAGCGAGCCATGCGGTGCCAGGGAGGTGGAGGCCGTGAGGGGAGGGGGGTGGGCCATGCCCCGGGTGGAGGGTGGCGTGTGTGGGGAGACACAGGGACAAAGGCATGCGGATGGAGAGGGTGGAGGGTGGAAAGGGCAGGGGAGGAGGGGAAATAAAAGTGCACACGGTTAGACACACAGACGTGGTCCAGAGGGTGCCCTCTCCCTGGCACACACAGCCCTGCTCCGGGAAGCAGGCCAGAAGGGAGCATGGTGAGCCATGGGGGTGAGAAGCTCCCCCAGAAGTGCCCAGCCCACCCCAGCCCCAATGCCCTGACCCAGCTTTCCAAGAGGGCTTCACCCACCCAGGAGGCTGGAGGACGGTGAAGCAGGCAGGGGTGGTGGGCAGCACCTAACCCCATGCTCCTACCCCTCTGGCTACCCAGAAGCCCCAGGGCACTGGGAGGACAGCCCATGTAAAGCCCAGCCTGTCCCAGAGCTAGAATGAAATCCCAGGACTAACACCACCGATGTCCCCATGGAGTCTCCCAAAGGCTGCTGGGGGGTGGGGGCAGGGGAGGGAGGCTCTGCTCCTCTGCCCTGAGGCAAAGGCAAGCATTAGTTCCCAAAGCCAGGGGACAGCAGGCCTGCCCTTGAAGCTGCCCAAGGGCCAACTCCTCAGACAGGAGAGCAAGTGCCAGGGGCCAAAGATCCTCGCTCCGCTCACTACATGAGTTCTTGCTCCAGAAAAGCAGGGAAATTCACAGGACACCAGGACAGGCTTCCTAAGGCCAGTTGTGAGGTGCGAAGAGTCAGAGCAGGATGATAGCACTTCCCGCTCTCCTTCCTCCTCCTCTGCCTCCTCCTCCCTTGCCCAGGAACTGGCCCAGCACGGCTGCCCATCTCCTGGGTAGTGCCCCCCGGGGCTTTGGGGCAGGGGCCGGGGACTGCTCCAAGTGTAGGGGGAGGGGCTCTCACCCGGTCAAAGTGGTTGAAGGAGGCCCGAAATTCATTCATCTGCTCCTGGCTGATGCCCTTGGCATCTCGGGTCAGGATCTGATTCTCCACTTCGTTGATGGTCCTGGCGATGGTGGTGAGGAGCTGCTCCCAGCCCACACGGATGTGCTGGGGATGGTGGTGATTGAGGAGCCTGTCAGCCAGGGGCCCCAGGCCTGGGCCTAGGCTGTTCCTGGCTATTCCTCCCCCACCTATTGAAATGGCCTAAGCAATCAGAGCCAGACTTCATCCAGATTGACAGTATCACCAGGACAAGGACAACACATCAGGACAGAGGACACAGATGATGAAAGGGGAAGCATGGGCAGAGCGGTGGCCTCTGCCTGAGATAGCAGAGACCAAAACTGACAGCATGGGCCAGGTCAGGAAGTAAGCCAAGTTTGGTAGGCGGAAGTATTAAAGAATGAAGCTTGTGTAAGTTGTGTAAGTCCCTGTATATCCCACTCTAGAGCCACACACACAAGCCTTCATGACCCAAATAATTCACCACTTGGAAAGCAGGTGCCTCAGTCAGTGTTTGGAGGCCACCTGCATTGAATTGCCAGGATGCTTTTAAAAATTTAGATTCCTCAGCCCCATCCCAGACCTAGTGAATCAAATTCTGGAGATGGAGTCTGACAATCTGCATTCTCAAGACAAGCTCCCTGGGAGAGTCAGAAGGAAATGAAGACCCAGAGCTCCAGGGGTGAGGAGCAGTGAGTAGCTCCTCACTCCCAAGTGAGAGTTTGTCCTCCTATGACCACTTTCCTTAGAAGATGAATAAGTCCCAGTCCAGGGGATAGGGGACAGAAGGGGATCTGGAGCTCCCTTCCTGGAGAAGCAAGGTGGGTGCCACCCACCTCCATGGTGTAGTTGGTGTGCTTGTTGTCAAAGATGAGTGCCTCCTGGATGAGCTGGTGGTCACCCTCGAGCTGGTCGATCTTGGGCTTATAGTTGACGATGCTCTTCTCGTACTGTCGCAGGTGGCTGAGCTGGTCCTCCAGCGTCCCGTGCATCTCAATGGAGATCCGCCCTATCTCCTGCTCACCCAGAAGGAAGCCCTTGTCAGACTGCCCCACTCTGTCCCTGGGGTAGGGGCTGGGGCACCCAGGTCATTGGTCAGCCCCTCAGAGGCTTCTCATTTCCCATCCCAGCACCAGGAAACCCATCACTGGTAATGATGAGAACAAGCAGGGATACACCTTGGTGTGGAAACAGCATCATAGAGGGGTATGGGAGGCATTGTTACACCTCTCGGGTACCTGTCAACCTCAGAAAGGGGCTGCATGTTCAGTTCCTAACCTAAATGTTCACTCCTCTGCTTGCCATTCTAACCCCCAGTGTGAGCCTGTTCCCAACTATCACCCATCCTGGGGACTCTCTCTCTGCCCACAGAGCCAGCTTCCTTGCAGCCTCAGAACACCTGACTTGCCTCCTCCGTGGTCATGCACCTGCTGTCCTGCTCCTAGGGTACCTGCCTCAGCCTGCTTAAATCCTACATGCCTCATGGGCCAGTCCTCTCAGCACCGCTTCTGTCTATACCTCATCCATGTAAACAAAACTTGCTTGTAAAAGCCCTCTCTGTGCACTTGATTGGACCCAGCAGATATTTCCTGAGCACCTACTATGCACCATGTGCTAAGCAGGTGGGGTGGGTGTGAGAGACACACGAATATGAACTGGACATAGTCTCTGCCCTCAGGGAGCTTAGAGGGACACCATGCTCTAACCCTAGCAGTACCCCTTCCCTCATCTACAGCACCCCAATACCTGGCCCAACAGTTCAAAAAATTCCATGCTTGTCCAAAGCTCAGTTCTTTCTGGAAAGATCATTCTCTTTGACAAAGCTCTCTGCTCAGGAGGAAGGGAGACCTGGTCAGCCAAATGAGCCAAAGGATAAATAAGCTAGTCAGTTCCCCAGGCACTCATCCTTCTGTGGGACTTTCTCATGTGGCTCTTCAGTGACATCTGGGTGTGGGTCTTTGCTCCCAAACCAGAGATTGGGATCAATCCACTGGCCTAGTCTACAGGCTACACACCCTCTGTACAGCAGCAGACCAATTGTGGGCTTAGGATCGGCATTCCTCCCTGGGTCCTGCCTAGAAGGAGACAGGGCAAGCCTGATGGGCTGGGATGGTGCTGGGAAGGGGTGGAAGCCCCATCCCCCCCTCCGGTATTGGGACCCACCTCCATCTTGGTCTGAATCCAGGGCCCGATGACATTGGCCTGGGCTGCGAACTGCTTACGTAGCCTCTCATTGTGCTGTTGGCGAGCGTGCTCCTCCGTCAGGGCCTGGTCCCTCCGTGGCACCAACTGCCGCACCTGGGGTGGGAACAATCGTGGGCCGTTGGGGATGGGCCAGCCCCCTGTCTCATACTTCAGATGAGGAAATGGAGGAGCCATGAAGGGAAGGAGCCAGTCAGTACTAGAACAGGAGTCAACAAGTTGACCTGTTCCAGAAATTCCATCATTCCTTAACTTGACAGAAGAGTGCTAACCATGTGATAATGAAAAAAATAGAATCAATGAAAATCAATAAAAATCAACCAAAAAAAGGACAAAATCCCTGCCCTTATAAAACTCACAATGGCAGCCAATGCCCCCACAGCCCTTGGACTCACATGGTCCCATTTGCCATTGATCTCCTGAGGAGTGATGGTTGTGTAGGGGTTGGTGCCTGCCATGTTGACGTGGTAGGTCTGGACAATCTTGGACACCTCGTTGTGGATACCTAGGATGGCCAGGCGCTCCTTGTCAGCATCAGGGAGGGTGGCCTTGAACTGCTCATGGGCTGTGGTCAGTCCCTGGAGGCAAGAGAAGTACAGTGACTGGTGTCTCCTGTGGGCAAGATGAACTAAGGGAGCCCTACAGGTCCCAGGATAGAGGTGGGCAGAAGGGCCACTGAGGCTTGGCCCCATACCAGCTAGGAGACCCAGAGGCATGAACCAAGGATGCTCATGGCTGAGAACCAGGTGAGTGGGGCTGGCCATGGGGAGGTGAGGGCAGAGCCATCAAAGCAACAGATTCATGGTTAGGGCTGGTGAAGTCAGGAGCAACTACCCTAGAGTGTGCACTACCCCACAGTCGGATCAGGGACAGGGGTGCCCCGTGTTTCCTCCCCAGGTAACCTCCGGCAACCTAGGCTTCCTTTACAAAATCTTTCAATCTAATCCCCTGTAGCCGTATAAAAGAATAAGGAAGCTATTTATTGCTATGCAATGAGACCCAAAACATTAAGTTAAAAAGAAAGGTTTAGAATACAGTATATAATAAAAAATGCTTTTTGTCTTAAAAAGGAGTATGGGGAGGGCAGCCCCAGTGGCTCAGCGATTTAGCGCCACCTTCAGCCCAGGGCATGATCCTGGAGACCCGGGATCGAGTCCCGCATTGGGCTCCCTGCATGGAGCCTGCTTCTCCCTCTGCCTGTGTCTCTGCCTCTCTCTCTCTCTCTCTCTCTCTCTCTCTGTCTCTCATGAATAAATAAAATCTTAAAAAAAAAAGGAGTATGGGGAAGAAGGCATTAATAAGTAAATATATTTGCTTGCATATACAGAGACTATGTGGGCATACTGCTTCTCTCTAGGGAGGGCCCTAGGGTTGGAGAGAGAATTTATGGCATACCCTTTTTATCTTCTAGATTTTATACCATCTGTATATATTACCTAATCAGAATAAATAAAATGTAATTCTTTTGATGTATAAAATCTTTGGATGCTCCCCCCATCTCTCTATCCTCTCCCTACACAAGTCCTGCCAGAGTGAGGTTTGCAGGGCGAGGTTTCCACAGGTGCCTGGGGAAGTCGGCCTCCACTGGTGTGGGGTTTGCAGCACACCTGGATCTCCTCAATGGTGTGCACGATGAAGGTGTCCTGTAGATCTTCCATGGCCCCCTCCATCCAGTTGTTGAAAGGTGCAGCCCGCTTGGCATACTCCAAGTACAGCTGGTCAATGGTCTCCAGCAATTTCTCTGTCCGCTGGGAGTGACAGTTGAGGGGAAGGGGTGGACAGGGAGATATTCAGCAGAGTCATATCTAAAATCACCACTCCCTGTCCACCCCCAGAGACTCCAAGGTCCTCCCAGCCAGCCTCAAGGGGTCTAAGTCTAGAAGCACCAGACTAAGTTCTCCGAGACACTGGTTCTTAATACAGGGTCTATGGACCATCCCACATTGGGATCACCCAGCCTGACCCCCATCTGATCTGTAGAATAGGAAAGTTCTCAAATGGCTGGGGTTGCACTGCAAAGTATACTAAACCAGGGGGATGAGGTATGGTTAGGGCCAGAGACAAGGCATCTCCATCAATGCAATGCCCAATGCAGTGCCAGAGTGAACCCTCAACAGTCAGGCCAGAGCAGTTCCAGGGAACACAGTGGAGCCTTTGGCCCAAAGCAAAGGGAATCACAAAGCAGGAAGAGGCAGGCACGCAAAGCTGCTAGAGGCAGGTCTCCCATCTCCCTCACGGGCCCTCACCTCCAGAGCTTCCCTCCGCTTCTGGGTTAGCGCTCCCAGATTGTCCCACTGGTCACAAATCTTTTGGCACCGGGCATTGACACTGGGTGAGTCATAATAGTCCAGCTCACTACAAGGGAAGAGACAGGAAGAATCAGGTGACCCGGGGGGTTACCTGCATGGCCTACTCTCCTCTCCCTGGGTCGGGGGATGTGAGTGGTACACGGAAGCTGGGCGTGCTCCCTTCATTAAGACCTTCCAGGTGCCCCTCCCACCCATAACTCCTTGGCTTTCAGAAGATTGCTGGGCCAGTTCTCTCTAAGGGCCCCTGCCACACCTCAGCTGGAGGCGATGCCAGTCTTGACCTCAGTGCCCAATGGCAGCGAGCCACTGAGACCTAGCAAGAGCTATGGGCAAACCTGGTCATCCTCTGGTCCTGTGCTAGTTACAGGTGACTGGATGCCCTCAACAGTAGGGTCACAGGCTCACTCTCCATCTGGGGGGACACTCATAATCTTCTGCATTGACGCCCTTCCCACCCAAGTGTCCACTGTACCCATCACCCTCCTCACTCTTCATAGCTACACCCCACTTCCCACCACTGCCCCAACCCTTGCCAGGCCATGCCTACTTGAGCTCCTGTGCGATGGCGGCAATCTGCTCCACACGGTCCTGGTGGGCAGCCAGGTCACTCTCAAAGGCCTCGTGCTTCTTGAGCAGGGCCTTGATCTCCGAGAGAGTGGCAGTCTCATAATCCTTCTGCCGTAGCATAGCCTCTTTGCCTGGATTTGGAGAGAGGGGGTACAAGGCTGAGCAGAAGCTAGAGGCCCCATGTTCTTGGCCCCAGGAGCCCCATTTCCGGGGGTACGTCCCCAGATGTCCATCCTACAGCAAACAATCATCTGCAGTTTGAGAAAGCATCCACTGTGAGGCTGGCTCAGGGAAGTTACTACTTTCTATGGAACATGTGTAGGGCCATGAGGAGTAGTTACATACAAAGGCTATGCAGGACTAAGCCCTGTGGCATAGCCAGGAAAAAACAAGCCAGGCACCGCAGGGGTATCCCATCTTTTAGAGTTTCTCCAGCTACTGTTGCTAGCTCCCAGCAGCCCTGCAGGGACTGCTCCCCTTAATTACTCTCAGGATGGGGTCAGCATGTCCAGTGCACTCTACACCTGATCCATCAGTGGCCATGACCTCCTCTGACTGATAGGGGCACTGCCCTCTCTTTAGGAGCAAGGTTTGCATTTCTTGGATTGCAGTTTCCCAGGAGGAAATGGGATGAGGAATGAACCTCCTGGGACTACTGATATATGAATGTCTGCCAGCTGTCTTGTGAAGCACCTGGTACAGGACAGGGGCTGCCCTGGCTCTGCCCACATGTGCACCCTCCACATCTGGGCCTGTCAGGGATGTTCAGCCCTGCTCAGGCTCTGGAAGTGAAAAGACTGCACCCAATGTGGCCTTTCTTTCCTTCCCTCTACTTTCTTTCTTTCTTTTTTTTTTTAAGATTTTATTTTATTTATTCATGAGAGACACACAAAGAGAGAGAGGCAGAGACACAGGCAGAGGGAGAAGCAGGCTCCATGTAGGGAGCCCAATGTGGGACTCGATCCCGGAACTCCAGGATCATGCCATGAGTGGAAGGCAGACTCTCAACCGCTGAGCCACCCAGGCATTCCTTTCTTTTTTTTTTTTTTTTAAGGATTTCATTTTTAAGTCATCTCTACGCCCAAGGCAAGGCTCAAACTCACAACCTCAAGATCAAGAGTCTTCTGACAGAGCCAGTTGGGCACCTCTCTACTTTTTTTTCTTTAGGTCAGAATATTAATATGACAGGTTTAGGAGGAAAAAATTATAGATGAGCCTATTTATCAACTCCTTTCCAGTCTTTCCTTGTATGGCTGCTGTGTTAAAACCAGAAGATATATGTAAGTTGTGTTTCCTGCTTTTCAAACATTCAGCAGCACATCATCAGAGTTTCTGCTCTGGCTCCAGGTTTCATGTGTGCCTCCCCCGGAGGCTGAGCCACCACTGGCATGACCACTTGCCACCCTCCTGTGGGGTGTTCAGGCCTCTCCGCTTATGCTGTTAGAGAGGGTCTCACAGCGAATATCTCTAGACGTGTGATTTCCCCACATTTAAGATGAATGCTTTAGACAGTCTCAAGAATTCCTGGGTCAGCAGGCAATAACACTGTTAGGCATGCATAGCCAGATCGCTTTGCCCAGAGGCTGTGCCAGCGATGACTGCCAGCATGTCAGCAATGCTCATGTCCTAGCTGGTGGCTTGCTGGCTGATGGGGCCAGTCCCTGCTCTGCACCTTCCTGTGAGCTGTGCCTTGGCCCCAGAGAGGCCATGATAGAAGCACATGGGTGAACTGGGGTAATCTCCACTTCCATTCTGCACCATGCACACCTAGATACGGAATTTCATACGTGTGCAATGGGCTGGGTAGCAGCGACCTCTCATCATTGTGTCCTCATGGCATGGAGCTGAACTGGCCCCCTCAGGCTGAGTCAAGCCCACTTCCATCCCCTACCAAGCCATACTGCTCCCAAGTGGCCACAGGGTATAGCTGTCCCTAACCGTCTCCAGCCTAGGATCTGAAGAGCACAATGGAGGCTAATGGGGGAGTGTGGAGACATTGCATCCATCCGCCAGGAGGGTCTGCCCGAGGCTCCAGCTGAAGTGGCTGGAGGACCCCAGCAGAGGAGCAGTGTGGATCCCACTCCAGCCCTTGCCCAGGTTCTGAGGAAAAGACTATCAGGAAGAGGGAAGGCAGTGGAGCAAAAATCCTCAGAGCTCCCATTCACAGAGTGTGTTCTACGTGCTGGGCACTCAGTGAAGCATGAACTGCACTTATCATATTTACTCCTACAACAACCCTATGGGGAGGTATGCCCAGTTGAACAGTGTCTCCTTGAAACTCATGCCAACCCAGAACTTCAGAATCTGACCTTATTTGAAAATAGGGTCTTTATAGATGCAATGAGTTAAAATGAGATCATATAAGTCTAGGGAGGGCCCCAAATCCAATGACTGGAGTTTTTATGAGAAAAAGAAGGAGAGGGCACCCAGGTGGCTCAATCGGTTAAGGTATCCCTACGGCTCAAGTCATGATCCTGGGGTCCTGGGATCGAGCCCGTTGGGCTCCCTGCTCAGTGGGGACCCGCTTCTCCCTCTGCCTCTGCCCCCTGCCCTGCTCGTGCTCTCTAATAAATAAATAAAATCTTTAAAACAAAGAAACAAAAAAAACTAACAGTGAATTACACACACATAGCACTGTCATGTTCCAGGAATCCTTCTCAACGCTTCGGATGTACTCATTCATTCCATTCTCATAAACCCAGCAAGTTGGCTCCATGATCATCCCCACTTTACAGACGAGGAAGCAGAGATGACCAAAAGGCTAACGAACTTGTCTAATGACAAGAAACTAGTAAGAGACAAAGCAAAACAAAGAGCAGGAGAGAAAGGAGCTGTGTGACTGGCGGTCCAGCTGGCAGAGCACGAAAGCGGAACCCCCGGGGCGGCGGGCAGCTGGGCTGGCCTTACCGTCCGTCCAGGCCTCGTGGATGGAAGCCTTCTGCCGGAACTTCTCTGCCAGGTGGTCGAGCCGCTCCAGCCTCCGGATCTCATTCAGCAGCCACTCCTCGTAGCCTTTCTCAGCCTGCTCTAGACAGCCCCAGGCATTGTTGATGTCCTGAAGGGATGGGAAGCACAGGGTCAGCCCCTCCTGGCCCCCGAGGCCCCCCACAACTGCCCTGTGCCTTCTAGAAGAAGCCCCTCCCCGATCTCAGCCATACAGTGGTGTTCCCTGAGCTCCTGGACACCAGCCTCCTGGGCAGGGAGTGGGGCCCAAGTCCACATGGGCCACCCGGCTACAGGGCTTTGGGCGTGTAGGCCTGTGGGGAAAGAGCGAGCCCCTCTGTGGCCCAGGATTCCAACCAATCACAGGGGATGTAGGATCAGCCAGGGGAAAAGAGCAACTAATGAACAAGGCAGGCAGGCATGGGAGCCTCCCAGGCTCCCCCACATTTCTGGATCTGCTCTCGGGCTCTGGGCAGTAGCCTGGAGCCTGCAGGGACCCTGGTCTGGGCAAGCTGGCCAAGCACCTGAGAGAGCGACAGCTGCTAAGCACAAACCCATGGCCCTTTAGACAGGAAGCCACCCACAGGGTCACTCCTGCAATTAGCATAGGGTGCGTGCTGGGCAGATATGGGCTGAACTGGCCTGTGTGCTACCTGGGGGCCCCAGAGACAGGCTGCCTCAACCCAGAGTAGGGGGTGCTCCTAACTCACAGAGCACCCGCCGGGTAGCGGGGCTCTAGCCACCTAAGACCTGCTGTTTCAGCCTGGAATCTGTAAAAAGACTACAATTTTCCAAAGTGCATACACAACAGGGACTGTTTCCTCTTCTCCAGGGTCCCCCAGGATCCTGCCTCCTTCCAATGCTGTCTGCCTGCTTTGCCCATTCCCTGCCCTTCCCACCTTATATGCCCACACCTCATACTTCTCATTCACTTCGGTGAATTTTTAAATTTTCTTTTGCATGTTTCTCTGGCTCACAACATTTCTCCCCAAGTCTGAGGGTAAGGTAAGGGGGAAGGAGAAACAACATAAGTAACCTAAATTTAACAACTTGGAAAGCCATTCACAATATAATTTTAGTTTTTTTAAGCAGCTTATTAAATAAAACATGCTTTAGGATTTCCTTAAAAATTATATTTATGTAGACTAAAAGAATCTTTTCTAAAAAGCTTTTTTTCTTAAGTACACCCCATGCCCAGCAGGGAGCCCAACACACAGCCTGAACTCACAACCCTGAGACCAAGGCCTGAGCGGAGATTAAGAGTTGGACGCCCAAACAACTAAGCCACCCAAGCATCCGGTAAAAAACATTTTTAAGTTGATATTGGGCAGTTAAGATTATGAGTAATTTATATTTTCTGTATCTTGCCTATTTGTATCTTTGAAATACCCTACCCCCCTCCAAAATCCCTTACTTGCCTAAGATAACACATTTTTAAAAAGTGCTTTAAAAAGATTCTACAGCAGTAAAAATTATCCTAATTGCTACTGAATCGTGGCCTGTTTGGTTCAATATGTCAAGAGGCATTTTGAGGGACACCTGGGTGGTTCAGTGGTTGAGCGTCTGCCTTTGGCTCAGGGTGTGATCCTGGGGTCCTGGGATTGAGTCCCACATTGGGCTCCCCGCATGGAGTCTGCTTCTCCCTGTCTGTGTCTCTCCCTCTCTCCCTCTCTGTGTCACTATGAATAAACAAATAAAATCTTTAAAAAAAAAAAAAAAAGAGGCATTTTGTTTGCAAAGATGATTTTCAGAGGGGTAGGGGAATAGGCAGTGCTAGAGGTCCAGATGGGAGTCTGGCAGGGTGAGTCTGGCCTAGAATAGTTGGGGCGGGGGGGTGCTTGAGCCTGGGGGGCAATCTGGATGGGAGAAACGATCTCCGGAGCAGTGTAGCAGACGGAGAAGACACGTCCCGCCCTGAGCAGGAGCAGCCCAGGGGCTGGAGGCAATCTAGCAGGGCTGTGGGGGCCTGTATTCCCGGCGCTCACCGAGACCATCCTGCCCTCGGAGGGCATGAAGGCGGGCCTGTTGCTGAGGCGCAGTTTGGTCTGCAGCGTGTTGAAGTTGATCTCCAGCTGGCACTTCTCCTGCACCTTGGGCGGCTTGTGCAGGCGCCGGTAGTCCCGGAAGTCCTCCAGCTTCTGCTGCATGGCATGCATGGTGTTCTCTGGCGCCCGGTTCTCCAGCCATGGGATGGTGCGGCGGATCCACTCCAACAGCTAGAGGAGGGGAGGGCGGGAAGGGCTGTTCCCCTCTCCTCCTGATGGCCTTTTGGCCCTTCCCCCCCAGGGGAGCTGGCAGAGGTCTGTCCCCGCAGCACACACTGTCCCAACTACCACTCCCTGGCTGCGAGGCCAGGTTCCAGGGTGTTCCCTCTTAGAATCACAGGCTTCATGCAGCCTGGCCATCAGCCTCCTCTCTGCCAGCGGAAGTTGTTAACTCAACCTCCCTGCTCTGTCTGCTGGGGGCAGAACCGCAGACCTGCTAGGAAGTCAGCTCGACCAGGAGACCCGAGCTCTGGTTCCAGCTCTACCACCTGGCTGGGCCTCTGTGTCCTTGTGTGTACCAGGGAGGGGGTTAACAGTTGTTTCCTAAGGCTCTTGTCACCTGGCCATCTAGAATTCTAGAATGAGGATCTCGGACTCAGAAAGGAAGTGGCTGGCTTCTGGGGGCACAGGCAGGGAACAGCCTGGATGAAGGGATGACGGTGGAGAAGCTGGAGGAGGAGTGTTGGTGGTCACAGGAAATAAAATGAGCGCCTGTAGGGTGTCAGCTTGTCCCCCAGATTAACTCACTGGGATGATGACAGGAACCCCAGGGGGTCATATGCTGTGATCCTCCCCTAGGTTGCGGAGGGGTGACTGAGGCACCATGAGGTTATGTGACCCGCCAAAGTGACAAGCTGGAATGGCAGAGCAGGGATTAAACCTGGCACCTGGGTTCTTACTATGCTGGATGGCAGATCCACCAAGAGGCCGGGCTGAGCTGTTCAGAAGACTGAATTCTTTTAAGGAAGAAGCAAGTAGAGCCTTAACCCAAATATAGTCAGTGGCAAAACAGCAAACCCAGCCCTGTGTCCTGTCCCCTGGGTGGGCCCAGCTGCTAAGCTAGCTTGAGCCAGCCCAGGTCCATCTCCAGTTCCTATCATCTCAGAACCAGGTGTCCTCCTTTTCTAGCCCAACCAACTCACAGAACAACAGTGTACCAGGCTAAAAAGGCCCCTCAGAGGTCTTGGCTTAGTTCTTACTTGACAAGTGAAAAAAACCAAGACCCAGACAGGTGATGAGTTTGCCAGGCTCACTGTTGGTTGGTGAGAAAAAAAGCCAGAGACTCGGCCCTCTGGGGCCCAGAGATCGGCCCTGTCTCTGCCTTCTAGGAGAGCCAGAGAGGAGCCGAAGCTGCCCTGGACTTGCTGTGCTGGGACCAAGGACTATGCCCAGCCTCAGACTGTACCCCAGGGATGGGTTTGGAGGTACAGGTTCTGGGGGCTCCCACTTCCCCCAGGGTGGGGTAGGAGAGCCTTGCGGGAGCCAGGCCAGGAGAACCCAGGAGGTACCCACATCGCTGGCCAGCTTCTCATAGTCTTCCATGAGCTGCTCGTTCTCCTGGTTGACGGCCAGCACCTTGCAGATGCGATTGGCTGCTGTCTCCGCCTGGCAACAAGAAAGGGGGGGGGTGGTCACGGTCAGCCCGGGGCAGCAGGAGCTGCCACCCCTGCAGCTCCATGTGGCAGGAAGGCAGCTTCCAAGGTTTCGAATCCACATCTTCCTTGTCAGCCTCTGCCAGCCCATGCTGGGTCCCAAGGATCAAGTGAGCTCAAAGAGAGATCTTGGTGGCTGAACTCGGGGCCCCTGGAGAAGGATCTGAGCTTGAGGCCAACCGCATGTTGGAAAGACACTAACGTGATATGATGACTGATACAATCAAAATGATCAGCTCAAGTGAAGAGGTGAGCCTAGAACCCAAAGTGCAGGCCCTGGGATTCCCAAGGCTCATGCTCTCAGGCTGGATTTGCCAGGATCTTGGGAGATGCAGAAATTCAAAGCTGGGAGTCTGGAATAAGGTGCAGAGGGGCCTCTCAGGATCCCTACAGAATCTGCTCCTAGCTCAAAGCCCAAAGAACATCACAGAAGATTCAGGGACCCTCTATGGCATAAAGTGCAAGACTTTAAGGATCAACCAAACACAGGCAGAATGTGCAGGAAGCACAGGCGGGAAAGCTAAGCACAGGTGTGTGCTGAGTGAGAGCTAGGCTAGCAGACGCCGGACGTGAGTCCTGGGGACAAGAGAAATGAAAGGGGACTGACTCAGATGCAAAGGCCTGGAAACTCCAGGGCATACCGCCTTCTCAGGCCATGGAGGGTGTTGTGGAATCAACACTAGCAAGGGCCAGATGGTCCTATATCACCTGCCACTCCGGTGATTTTTAAATTCATCTGTTCACATAATGACCCAACTCCAAGGGGAAGGGAACTCAAAGCCTTTTGGGGGTCCTGGGATAGAAAGACAGCCTAGGGATGGGAGCAGATAATGCCGATGAACAAACAGATATGAATCCTGGGGCTCTAGAGAAGGGTGACCCTGCAGATATCAAGGGTCAATGGATAGAAAGACGGGACCTCACAAGGGGTCAATGAACAAGACAAAATCTTATTGCTGCAAGATAAACAGAGGCTAGGCATAAGGGAGAACTTCCTGAGAATGAAGGTGTTTTGAACTGAAAAGAAGTAATTCAGATGTAAATGTTTTCTCTTTGCAGAACTTTCCAAATAGGACACACGCCCACTGAATCGTGTGACTGGGAGTGACTGCTGGGATGTGTGTGTGTGAGTGGACAGAATGAGCATAAAGGTCCTTTCAGGCTCAAAGTCAAGAGACTGCACCCTCCAGGGCAAGACGTCAGAGTAAGAAGGCCTCCACCAGGTCCAACTGTGGGATTGGCCAGAGGGCCTCCACGATGGGATGGGTCCTTTGAGTCCCAGGTCTCAAGAAACGGAGGCAAGGAATCTAATCCTTAGACCCTTACCCATCTGCCTTCCAGCCTAACTGCCCTGGAGATGCCATGGCCACTTCTCACATGGAGCTCCTGATTGATCATCCTTCCTCCTAAGAGCCAACAGGTAACCACAGGGAATCCCAAAAGGTGACAAGGAGGGACATTCCTTCCTTGTGGGGCTCTGGAAAGAGCAAAGTCATAGGAAACAGGCCAACTGGCCCACGAGGAGGGCTGGGGGTAGCAATCCACCTGAAGTCACCAGGGCCACTTCCTCTGAGGCTGGGGCAAGGGACACAGGGGCCAGTGGTATCTGTGCGGACACAGGTAAGCTATCCCCAGCATGCTGACCCAAGTGGGTAAGAATCAGAGATGGCCCACATCCTAGGCAAGAAGCAGCTCCCACTGTGATGTCTAATGGATAAAGCCCTCCTTGGCCTTGTTATCCTCCTGATTCATCTTGAAATTCTGGGCTCAGTGGTCATAAGCTTTGACTTGTGTGTCAATGTCAAACTGGTAAACTAAATGAGGCCTGTGTTCATTTTAAGAATTTTAAGAGATCTGTCCTGTGAGCCACAGGAGCCTCCCCCATCCCTCAGAGCCTGTTGGCTGTTTCAGGGTCAAAAGAGGCTCCTTCTGGATGAAGTCTGGCAGAGGGGACGGGGAGTCCCAAGTGGGCCACCTGGGAATTTTTCAGAGACCTGCCTCTTTCCCAAGCCAGCAACTCAGCCTGCCTACATCCAGGTGGCTTCACCCAGAGAGACTGAGAAAACCCATCATTACAACCAGGAAATCTGCCTTTGGAAAGAAAGCATAGGCATTACGGAGCAAGAGTACTTTCTTTCTAAAAGGCAATGGCCTGTCTGCAAACTCCATCAGGGTTGCCTCTGCCCTCAAGGGACAGCCCAGCTCCCACAGTTACCTTTAGGAAAGAAACAGGCTCCTGGAATCCAGATTTTATTTTATGGGGAAGACAGGTAGAAACTTCAAGACCTTGATCTATTTCTTTCGCTCACTGCTTAACTCCCCTAGGCTGGGAACCACCCTGCTGCAGAAGCCTACTACGTGACACTTGCTTCCACATTGGTCCTTTTACAAAGAATGGTTCAGCCATCCAGCACCCCCAGCCCAGGAGGTCACGGAGACCACGAAGGAAAGTAAGGTCTATAGGACATAATTGCTGGGGTGGAAGGCAAGTGAGACTCTTGAGGGTGGGATTGAAGCCTACCCTAATTGTCCCACTCATTTTCTAGAAATGGTTTCTCCTGTGGCTACAAGAACTCCATCATGATGGGGGATTTAGGAGAGAGGTACCCAGCACCACCATGTCATAAAGAGACTGCTCAAGGGAGAGATTGGTTCTAGGGGAGGAAAGACTCAATCTCTTAGAGAAACAGAAATTGAAACACAATCAGAAGAACAACCCTAGAAAAGTCCTGGCCTTAGGCTGTTCTGGCAAGAGGAGATGGGGTGCTTTGGACCCCAAGAAGCAAAACCAGACTGTCCAAGACCTTTCTGATGTTGACAGGATTTGCATGAAATCAGGGACATGAATGCAAATAACAGGAACAGGCTGAGAAAATATGCCATAACACTGGGCAAAAGGATTACTTCTAAATGCCAAAGGAAGACTTCTAGACGTTTGTGTGTACCTTCCCTTGGTTTTTTTTTTCATGACTTACATTCAACTGTATTATTATGCAGCTTAACACAGAACAATCTGGTTTTATGTTAGAGTTATTTGTTTTTTAAGTTATGGACTATGATTCCTGGAATACTAATAACTTAGCTATCCCAAGCCAAACTGCTGTTCTAAGAAGCAACATCAAATTCACCGGTACAGGTATTAATTAGGGTGACGTCTACCATCCAAAGTGCATCCAAGTGACGCACAATGGCTCTGCCATCCACCATCCACAGATTCACACGAATGCCACAAAAATGTCATCTGTGACCTTTTTAGTCAAAAATCTCCCAAATTCTATCTAGAATTGTCCATTTCCTTCCTCCCACAGCCTTTCCCAGAGTCTAAATCAGCAGCCAGCCCCAGTGTCCCTGCCGGTGGGACCCGCAGGCCAAGGGGCTCAGCATGCTCCCCAGCTGCCATCATCTCCGGCTTCCCTTGTGTGCCTCGCGCTGGGCAGCGGGAGGGCCCTGGCACCACTGTTAACTCACCCTCCCCTCACAGGCTGCACCGTCACACCTTGAAGCTGTCACACAAGCTGAGACTGCCTTCCCAACCCTTGCCGCACCTTCACTAGAGGACTCCTATTCAACCCTTGGGCCCCCAAGCTCCAGGGCCTCTCATTCAAGAAAGCTGTTGTGTCGTGCAGCCCCGCAGCCCTCTGATCCACTTGTCCCCTGCTCAGCTGGGGCAGAGCAGGCGCTGATCAGACGGCAGCCAAGGCTGGCTTCTGGGTGGAAGGGCTCCCCCAAGTGGACTGTGCATTCCTCGAGGGCAGAATGGTGGTTCCCTCCAAGAGGAGATTCATGATGTGAAAAAGCAACCGACGGGCCAACAGGACAGGTGCAGACATCACCATCAACTCCTGAAAGCAACCAGAAACACCTACCGCAGAGCTGGTCAGGGCCAGCTTCATTATTTCTCACAAGCATCCCCAACAGACCATGAACTTCAAAGCACAAATCACATAAACAAAATCCGCTGCTTTCTGATGATTCTAAATCGACACAGGGGAAGGGGAGGAGTGAAGAAAACTGAGAAAGTATCAGAACCCAAACCACCATGTCAAACAGAAGTGGGTCTTCATCTGACCAGGAAAACCAACGACGTGCACTCACGTGCCACATGCTTGTTTATGGGTCCACGTACTGTGACACACGCTCACCCGCACACGTGTACACACGTGCATGCATGCAAGACACTCTGCCGTCTTTCTAGTTCCACCGTCCATGGCTTGACAAGGGAAAGACAGTGGAGAGGATGCAGGGCGTTGGGCATGGGTTTCAGCATATTTCCCCCCACTGGCACCAGACACGGAGATAGTCAAGAAGAGAGTATGAGTCTGAAAGAATCCTCCTTCTTCCATAGGGGAGGGGGAGACCTCCCCTACCCCTGGCCCACTTGGCTCTAAGCAGTTGCCTGAATCCTTAGAAGTGATTGGGGCCAACTCCGGGAGAGGCCCCTGACCCAGGACATGAGAATGCACTGCCACTCCCCGACCCACTAGTGACCTTGTCCTTCAATGTGGACAAAAGTAGCATGAAATGATGCAACAAGGATGAGAGGGAAGGAAGAGGGCATGGGCGGAGGCCAGGAGCCGGGGGTGGGTGGGTGAGGGGGAGGTAGCATGAGACCCGGGAGGGAAGAAAGCAGGCTGCTACATGCACACGCACATATGCACATGTGAGCACATACTCTCGCACACATTCCCGTCTGAGCATGATCATCAGCCAGGACACAGGGAAGGCCAGTGTCAGCAGGCATGAAGCCCAGGAGAGAACCCTCGAAGGAGCAGGGGAGAAAGAGGAAGAGCTGGAAAGAGGAAACCCCCATCACCCACCCCAGCTGTGGCTGCAAGAAGGCAGGGCTGGGAGCCCACCTGAGAAGTAGACAGATGCTGCTTACACCCTGGCTGAGGTGCGGGGTCAGAGGAGCCAGAAGAAGGTGACAAGAGAGCAGCAGCAGAGATGGGATAGAGAAAGGAAGCAAGAAGCAGACCAGAGAAGAGGCTGGAAGGGGCTGGAGGGGCGTGGAGGGCCAGGACACCTGTGAGGCAGCCTGCACACGGGACAGCTCTCCAGTCTCAGCGGGGACAAGGTGAGGCCCGGAAGGCAGGCAGGGAGAGTTCCGGGTGCCCATCTGGCCAGGGAACAGGGCTGCTACTAGCTCACACGGTGTTTCTGTGTGATTGAGAGGCGCCTCTTCCCAAGGCACCTCTATTGGAAAACTATCATACTGCTGTGTTTGAGAATGTTTCTACTGCCATCTGCAGGAGGACCTCAGTAACAAATATTCAAATCTCCACGGTCTACAGTGGACACAGGGTACCGCTGCGGAGCGTGCGGCCTGCACCACGTCCATGGCAGGCCTGGCTGGGAAGGGCTCTGAGCCTCCGGCCCGGACACCAGGGAGAAGGCAGAAAGATTTCTCCCTGCCCTTCTGCTGGGTCATTTGAGAGGATGGGCTGGCCAAAGCAGGGAGGGGAGAAGAGGAAGGAGTCCTGAACCTTTAAGGGAACAGTCAGGAAGCACAGCCAAGAGCTGTACTGCTCGGGATAAGGGCTCCTGACTCAGGCTCCAGGAAAGGAGCGGAGACCGCAGGCTTCGTTCCCATCCGTGGCCGCCAGCGCGTATGGACAGAAACACGGGGGGCCGGCCAGGGGCTGGGGCTCTCCGGCACCTTCCGGTGTCCCGGCCAAGGTTCAGAGAGCACCCTGCCCTCCTCCAAGAGGCAGAGGGGCTTCTCCAGCCCCTCCTGTCACTGCAGGGCTGTGGCCCCACGGGACGTTGCCAGAGCATCCAGGGAAGACTGAAGAGGCGGGCGGAGGGTGGCGGGGAGAGCGGACAAGGCCGAGGGGGAGCTCACCTTCCGCGCACCCGAGAAGGCGTGGCAGTGACATGAAACAATAGGGCACATAGCCTTCCCCTCCGGCCTTAGCGTGCCTACACATCTGCACAGAGAAGGAGAAGAGGTTGAGAGGAGAAAGGGCGGCGGCAGCAAGAATAAACCCAAACAGCCATGGTGGACGGAGAGGACACAGGACAGTTGCATGGGCAGCAAATGAGGGAATGGGCAGAAAGAGGAAAAATGAGATGGTGGGAGGAGTAAGGGGAGGGGAGGGAGCACAAGCTAAGATGGGGAAGGGGGAGGAAGAGCAGAGGGGAAGGCTGGGCGGAGGTGGGGGGAGCACCCCCATCATGCATTTGGAGACAGGTCACTCAGACTCCATGCAGAGGGTGAGGAATTTGCCTAGCACATCCATGTGATGTGACAAGTCCACAGCCCCAAATCATGAAGGCCCGGCCTGCGGTCTGTGGTCATGTCGACCTGCATGTTGTGTTTCCAGGGTCCTGCCTGTGAGACGGGTCTAGGAGAGGGGCTTCTGCTGCCTGAGCTAAGCTTCACAACAAAACATTCAAATCTTAATGTCTGTGGTGTGAATGGTGCTCTTTAGTTGTGGTACCCTTGTGCAGTGCAGAACCTGCACAACCAGACTTTGAACTCAGGCCTCCCTCCCTGAGCGAAACTGAGCCAGGGTGTTTGAAGGGGTTCACAGCTGCCCACCTCCTCCCTGCCCCCACCTCCAAGGAGGGGATATAGAAGGATATAGAAGGTACCAGGAACCCACAAAAACCTGTGGACAGATTTGCTAAATCATGCCCATGAGTGGGAGAAAGGTGGGAACTTTGTGACATGTTTGTAAAATAGGTCAGTGAAGACAGGAGATGCCTCCCCAGGAGAAGCCCTGCGGCTCTTTTAATGCCTGTAGCTTCAAGGAAGATGAGCACAGAGGAGCTGCTGTCCACTGCGCCTTGCAGGCATCCAGAACCCCCAGGCTGACTTCACACATGCAGCTCTTCCTGCTTAAGCCAGCCCTCTGGGCCCCAGAAGGCGAGCTCTAGCCCAGTCTTCTCAGAGACTGCAGAGGAAGAGGAGAGAAGGAGCAGAGATGCAGGGTGGGAGAGGAGCCGAGCAAGAGCAGCACGCCACGTTGGCACCAGGAGCTAACTCTACCAAAGAGACAGACCATCCAGACCCTGTTGCCGGGGAGAGGCGGGTGGGGCAGGGGCACATGGTTTGGGGCCCGGCATGAGGTGTGCCGCGCAAGGAAGGGGCAGGGGCCCTGGTACCTTCTGGGCTCCAGAGAAGGCATGGTAGAAGCTGGACACGTAAGTCATGATGGCTTTCTCATCCGGTCGGGCGGTTCCGACGATATCTGTCAAGAAAAATCTGGAGTTAAAAGCCAGCTGGTGAACACATGATGCACTTCCTGATGTGACGTGGAGAGTTTATAGAACCACCAAGTCCTCTTGCCCAAATGCTGAGCCTGAGTCCTACGGGCTTCTGGCATCAATCTCCATGTACAGGAGCATGAGAAATAGACAGTGGAGAAAAATAGTGCTCCAGGGAAACAAACAACAGACCCTGAATATGGAACGTTCCATGAACGGCTGGCCCGGTGTCTGTAGCAAGTTCAATGGCAGGAGGAAAAAGGAACGGAAGGAGGAGGGAAGTGCTACAGATGGGAAAAGACTGAAGAAATAGAACTAAACGCCACATGCAGACCTTATTTGGATCCTGATCAAAACAAACTAACTCGCAAAAGAAATGACTGGAAAAAATTTGATTTTGAATTGGGCAGTAGATATATCAAGGGATAACAGTCAACTTGCTAAGCATGAAATTTGTTTCATGGTTGCCTAAGAAAATACCCATATTTTTAAGGTATGTATTCTGAAGTATGTAGTAGTGAAATGCTGTGATGTCTGCGATTTGTTTTCAAATACTTCACCTAAGGGATCCCTGGATGGCTCAGCAGTTTAGCGCCTGCCTTCCACCCAGGGCATGATCCCAGAGTACCGGGATCAAGTCCCACATCAGGCTTCCCGCGTGGAGCCTGCTTCTCCCTCTGCCTGTGTCTCTGCCTCTCTCTCTCTGTGTCTCTCATGAATGAATAAATAAAATCTTTTAAAAAATAAAATAAAAATAAAATAAAATACTTCACCTAAGAAAACAAAAGGGGAAAAGAAGTGGCAAAGTCTATAATTGTTTTATTGGGATGATGGGTATATGGAAGTTCATAGACTAGTCTTCCAGCTTTGGCATATATTTGAAAATGGTCCCAGACAGACATTGTCACAAACTATCACCTCTCCCTCCTATTCTCCCCTAAGGGCCCATTCATCTTTCTAAAAAGTACTTTGCTTTTCCATAAATGCTGGTTGTCCCTTCCCTCTCCCCTCCAAGTCAAGTGTGGATATAGACCCCAAACTCCTAACCACCCTGTGAAGTACCCTGAGAGCTCTCATGTATATGGACATGTGAATACACTTCTGTTTGCTTTTCTCTTGTTAATCTGTCTTTTGCCAGTCTAATTCACAGGATCCCAGCTGGAGAGCCGGAGAGGTAGGGGAAAGGAGTTCTTCCCTCCCCTACAACAACAAGGAAATGCTGTGTTCCATCCCAGCACCCACTACCCCAATTCCAAGATGGAGACGAGAACCACCCTGAGGCGGTCAATGCAGAGCAGCCTCAAAGGCACCAGCCAGCACCATCGCCAGCCAGCCTCCTCTCCAAACCCCAGGGAACTGAGGAATCCCTGACAGGCGGGTACCCCTTGCCCCAGGCTCTCCAGATGAGGTCCCAGAGCCAGGCCTCTTCCCTTCCCACCTCAGGCCGTTGAGGCCCATCCCTCTTCTCTCTGACAGGTGAGAGAAGAGCCAGAGGCACAGAAGGAAAACACCTTTTACCTTCAGCATCCAACATCTTGGGGATGTCCAGGTACTTCTCTGCCACATCAAAGGCTGTGTTCAGATTTGTGAGTGGGTCGTCCTAGAGGAAGAAGAGGATGAAGGCATGGGGGGAGGGCCTAAGAAGTCACTGGTAACCCACATCTGGTGGTCAAAGATGGGGGCACAGAGAGGACTTCCACGGTCCCCTCTCACCCAGGGCTTGCTGGGTGGGCATTTACAATGCCAGTTTTCCTCCTCCAGGCCTCATTTGTCAGAGAAACAAGGGTGAAGAACACTGGCCTACAGCCCAAGAAGGAACAGCTCAGATATACACACTGAGAAGAGTCCACAGGCCTGGGCATTGTTGGTCTTGACTTCCAGTTGTAGCTCTCCCAGCAGCGGGCAGGGGTGGGGCGGGGCTGGTCAGTAACCCAGCCTCCACTTCCCCTCTGGTATTAGGAGGTGCACTGGGAAACCTCAAGCCCCTCTGCTCTTCACGGTCCATGAAATGTGGGGGCTCCTTCAAACGGCCACAGCCTTTGGACTATTCTGGCTTCTGGCACCGTCTCTAGAACACAGACTGGGGACTGAGGAGGATGTGGAGGAATGAGAGCCCATGGGCACCATGGGTGGGACAGGTAAACCAGTGCAGCTGCTATGGAACATTAACACAGGAGGGAGGGTCCTCAAGTTAAACCCAGGACTGCCGCATGACTCAGCAATCCCACCTCTGGGTATATATCCCAAAGAAGGGAAAGCAGGGACTGCAGGAGATAGCTGGACGCCCCTATTCATAGCAGCATTATTCACAAGAGCCACGGGGTGCAAACAGCACAACTGCCCAGTGACAGATGAGCAGACTAACCAGGGTGGTGTCCACACAGTGGACCATTATCCTGCCTTCAAAAGGAAGAACATTCTGACACATGCTACCACCTGGGTCAACCTGGAAAACAAGCTCAGTGAAACAAGCCAGACACAAATACTGTACAATTCACTTATATATGAGGCGTCTAGATGACTCAGAAAGTAGAATGGTGGCTGCTGGGGGCTGGCAGTGTGGGGAGTGGGGCATGATGGTTTTGTGAGTTTGGAGGCCCCATGGTACAGGATGAAGAGCCGAGGAGACGACCTATGGGAATGCACCCCTGCCACCACCCTGGACACCTCAGCATGGCTTGGGTTTTTACATCATATATGTTTTGTGTTTTCATGTATGTTACCTTTTATGTTACGTGTGCTTTACAACGATTAGAAGAATTTCTTCTAACATGGGGAAAAAACCACCACGTAGGGATGGGAGCTCCTTGCTGGGCCTCCCGCACTATTTCCTGGCTCTCTAGAATAACCTAAAGCAACCTGGTTTTGTCAGCCCAGGACTCAGTTTCCTCATTTGCTAAGATGAGAATCACAAGGTTACAAAGAAATAAATAACATTCATCCAGGATGCTTTCAGGAAGAAACTACTCAAAATAGAGAAGGTGGAGTCCTTCTGGGAAAGTTTCTGACAGCTTCCAGAATGATTTAAAAAAAAAAAACAAAAGACAATGCCAAGCAGTGAAAGTCACTTCCGTCCAGGACCTCAAGTAGCCCTCAGGCCCCGGGCTACACCCACAGGCCACACACAATTTCCAGGGACAGCCAGGCTCCCTTGCCCACGTAAGGCCACAGCGGGAAGGAAGAGCTTCCCAGCCAGAGCCCCACAGCTCTCTCCTGTGTCCAAATGCCAGCTAGCTCTGGCAACCCGTGCTTTCTGGAAAGCATTCACAATTCAGTGAGACCAGGTCTGTGCTAGGATTTGGGCTGGATTTTGCTGATGCAACTAAGTTAAGGAGAGGAGAGACAGACGCAGTGAAACAGGGAAAAAAGATAAGACACACAGGGTGGGCAGCTGGCCGAGTAGCAAAGGCGCCTAGGCTCTCACCCCCCAGATGACTAAGACCCCTGCAGTCCGTGGAATGGGGGAAGGGACTGAACAGCCACAGGCAGCAGGGCCCCACTTTACAGGGGGTGGCAAATGGCTATGGATTCACTGGCTGCCACCACATTGACGCAGGGATGCCCACCGTCACTGAAGTGCATCAGGCAAACAGTATGAAGGTATGGGATGCCGCCTCTGAAAGAAAAGTAATTACTACTTCGAGGGTTTCCTGCCTCGGCTCTGATTTGGCCACACAGCTCTCAGGTAAGTCAGGGGCTTCTCAACCTCATTTTCTTCCTTGTCAGGCAGCTGAGCTAGAGTGCAGGGACCCTCCCACCCACTAAGACAGTGGCCTGGGAAGTCAGGCGAGCACACGTACCTTCCGCAGCTTCCCGTAGTCAATCAGCTCAGGCCGGTGTCGATGGATCAAGGCACAGAAACCGAGGCCGTCCTTCCAGCTGTCCGAGGGAGAGAGAAGGTGGGAGGCAAGCTGGTGAGTGGGGCTGGACAGAACTCTAAAAGAGGGGAAAGCCCTAAAAGAGAATTGGGGGGGGGGGTCCTCCTTTTTTCCACAGAGTGCTTTGGAGCAGGAACAAGGGGAAGACAGGATGAGAAGAAACATTTCTTCCTGCCACAATCCCAGGCACTGGGGTCAGGATCCTGTGGGGCCTGAGAAGCTGAGACACCTACCACATCCAACTTACTCTCCACCAAGGTCTCTGTCTGTGCACCCCCTGCTCTATTCCAGTGCCCCAGGCTGGAACTTCCTGGACAGTCCCCTTAGGAAGCTCCCCAGTAGCTCCAGCATCAAGCAAAAGCATACACAGCAGCACAACCACATCAAAGGCACTGCTGGGAGAGAAGGAGTGCTGTGGGGGCAGGGGCTGTGGACCTCCCCTAGAAAGCCACTTCTTCCCCAAGGACCTCCGCTCTGTTCTAGAGCTGAGACTAACCCAGCCAAAGGGGGTCAAGGGGTCTTAGGGGAACAGCATAGGTTCTACAAGAGCCCCTCAGCCTCCAGCCACTCACCTTATGTGGAAATTCTGGATGTTGACATTTTTGTAAGGGGCTGTCTTTCTTTGACACCACAAGAGCAGCCCTTCCTTCGCAGAAGTCTCTGTGAGGAGGGGGATGATGGGCGGAGAGGTCAGTGGGCTGGCTCAGCACAGAGAGGGGGTGTTGGCTCACAGGAAGCCCCACCAGGACCATGGGGTCCCTGCTTGTTCACATGAAGGGTCCCTACAAAGACCCCTAGATTCCAACCATGGGGCTACCGGGCCGCTGAGTTTCCTCAACAAGGTTTGAGAAGTTATTTGAGAAACAAAAAAGTAAGACAGGCAGCTTTTACGAGCTAGCCACATTACATTTAAATATTGAGGTAATGGCCTTTCAAACTTTCAGAATACCTCCCCCATCATTCCCCTTTATTCAAAGACATGTAGCACTACAAAATAAATCAGCAACCTATGTGAGGTCTATGTTTGATTGGCCTATAAAATCTAAAGTCCCGGAATCTCCACGCAGGGGTCTACAGGCTGTGCAGAGTACACACAGCCGTGTGGGGCAAAAGCATTAGGATCATCTAAAAAAATAAAGTTCCTTTATGTTTAATGCATGGATTGATACCATTGCTGTATGTGTGAAGCAGACCCGTGTCTGTAAAATAAAGCAAGGAGGTATCCGAGGGGACCCCAGGAGCTCCCAGCCCAGAAGGGTTGCAAACCACACTGCCCCCATGGGCTCGCATCTGTGAACTGCAGATATGGTACCCAGCAAAGAGGGTTCCTGGGTGATCTCATTTACTCTCAATTTACAAAATGGACTTTTAAATGACATTAAATGATTTCTGCAAAGATAATGCTTCCAGCACAAGCAAACAAAAAAAATCAGCAAAGCTAATGCTTCTACTCAGCTCAAGCTCATCACCTATATTACAAGATTAAAACAATGACAACAGCCCCAAAGAATCAAATTGATCTCATCAAGAAGGCAATTTGAAAGTAGATTTATATTCACCATCACTAACTAGCACCATATATGAAGTGGACACCTTTTTAGCCACTTCCACCCTAAATACCATATATCTATAATCCAAACTTCAGATGGCTGTATCATCATGTGTCGAACCAAAATTTCCATAAGAAAGTGATTTATTCTACATTCTTCCCATCAAAAAATTACTTTGAATAAAAATCTTTTTAAGATTCACAGGACATGACCATGAACAAAAATATATTTTTTAGGTTACATATTTATCTTTTTGGTCTCTGCACCAGGTGTGGGGCTTGAACTCACAACCTCAAGATCAGGAGTCACAAGTTCCACCAACTGAGCCAGCCAGGTGCCCCATGAATACAAAATATTTTAAAATATTATCTCCATCTCACCTTTTTAAAATTTGTTTTGGTGTGTATATTTCATAATATGAATATCAATATACTAATATAACTTATTACAAAATAAATACACACATATCAGATAGAAAGCTCAAAAACTGCTGGAGTGTGGAACCAAAAGTTTTCTTTCTTTCTTTCTTTCTTTCTTTCTTTCTTTCTTTCTTTCTTTCTCTCTCTCTCTCTCTCTCTCTCTCTCTCTCTTTTCTTTCTTTCTTTCTTTCTTTCTTTCTTTCTTTCTTTCTTTCTTTCTTTCTTTCTTTCTTTCTTTCTTTCTTTCTTTCTTTCTTTCTTTCTTTCTTTCTTTCTTTCTTTCTTTCTTTCTTTCTTTTTGGGGGGGGGGGGGGGAACCAAAAGTTTAAAAAGATCCCAGCCCCAGACTACCATGGCCTCTCAAAGATCTGTTGAAGTGGCCACCAGAGGGCACTATGGGAGCAAAGTGGAGACCCTGGAGTAGACTTGGAATCCTGAGACACTCTCTCCTGGTTACTAAGCTATTTCCCCTACCCTTTTGGATTGAACAACCTAAAACCCAATACTTCCTACAGCACCTTAGTGTCCCAAAGTGAGGAGGATTCTCTGGGGCCAACATACCAGTGGGAACCAGCACCTAAGCAGTTCTGATTTCTTTACAGATGAGGGAGGCAGATGCCAGCGATGGGCCAGAAGCCCAGGATGTGGCCCACAATTAGGCCCCTGTTGCCTGGGGTCAGGGAATTCTCCAGACTGAGCTCAGGGAGGAGGATGGTGAGGGCAGGGGAGAGGAGGGAGCTTGGGAGACTAAAGGCACAGAGCAGAAGACCCACCTTCCACAGAGATGTCCTGGATGGCAAAGCGGAGGATGATGGTCCAGATCATGCCCAGAGTCATTTTCACATTCCCATCCACGATTTCTAAAGAAATGGCATCAGGATATGTTAGGATGGCTTTTAGCAGGGGCAGAGTTAAAATTCCCGGAGTGCCCACATCACTGAGAGTACAGAGACAGAATTCAAAGACCACACAGCTCCACCTCTAGGGAAAAGTAAGAATGTTTTTAAAAGTACTATTAGGCATCACAGGTGCCAGGAAAGAAGTTTATTTGGGGGTGATCCGGGACACAGGGTAGGAGAGACCAATTTCACTGGGTACATTAAGGAAGGCAAGAGAGAAGGGGGTGTCCTCACCAGCCTGACAGAGAAGAGGGAGAGGTTTCTAAATCATCACAAATGTTCTGGCAACTTTGTGAGGTGGGGAAGTCTGGGTAATCACAGCTCTCAAATTAGCCATCCACACACAAAAAGCCAGTGTAGGGAACAGAAAGCAATCAATCCAACGAAGCTTTGTAAACTGACATCTTGAAGGATTTACTAACTCACAAATCAACCCCATGGCATTACTTGGGTATCAAAATACATATTTAAAAAAAAATCAAACAACAGCTTCCAGATCACAGTTAAGAGATAACCCACTAAATTCAGTCTAAGCAACACTTTAGATTTCTTTAAAAATGCTATAAATTCTATGAAGTAATTTTTTTTTTCTTTCTTTCTGTATCAAGCCCAGAAGCAGGGAATACAAACATAAGTACCTGTCCTTAAGGAGCCCAAGACATGGAGTTCTTTATGATCTTGGGGGCTAAGCCCATGACAATCAAATGCAGACTCCTTGCCTCCACCTGCTTCCAAACTAGGAGACAGTAACTCAGCCCCATGGCAAGGTACTCTCAGCTAACAGTCTGGCATCCAAAGAATATCGTATTTTTTCCAACCTGAAAAACTAACTATGGGGAAAAAAACCAAAAAGAACCATGAGAAGGGGTGACTTCCAGGAACTCCCGATATCCTGAGCCCATGTTCACTAGGGTCTGCTTCCAACAAGTGTCTTAAGCAAGAGTAGATTCCACTAAAGAAACTACATTCTAAGATCTCATCCCCTTTCTCAAAAGGGAGGGCAACACCGCATGCTGCTGTATATCCAACAAGGTACAGAGCACTGCTGCTGCTTCCCAGTGAGGCAGGTGACTCTGCTGAGCCTGTGCTAGGGTGCTGAGGTGGACAGGTGACCACGTTGGACAGGAGACAGGATGTAACTCTTCCTGCTAACAAGGGCCTTTCAGAGCCCGTCCCAGAGCCCCAGACACCAGCAGGGCACAGATCTGAGTGGGAGGAACTGGATAAGACACAGAGAACAGAGTAGGGTACAACCGTCTTCTTGAAGATGTACAACAGCCAGGTAGCACATTGCAGAACATGCTGGGAGGACACAGAGGCAGGTAGTAGTTAAGAATCAGTTCATAAAGATTTTATTTGAGAGAGAGAGAATAAGCAAGAGGAGTGGCAGAGGGAGAGGGAGAAGCAGATTCCATGCTGAGCAAGGAGCCCAATCCCAGGACCTGGGATCATGACCTGAGCCAAAGGCTGACACACAACCCACTAAGCTACCCAGGTGCCCCATGAGTTGGTTTTTTAAAAATGCCCTTTCATTTGTAACTTCCAATGGTTTCGTATCTACAACATTTAAACAGTTTATATAAATTCATAAGGAAAAAAGCCTAAATTCCTAATAGGCAAAGGACCTGAATAAATACTTCACAAAACACAAAATATAACCAATTTATAAGTATGCTCAATCTCCCTTGTAATTAAAGAAGATATTTCCCCAGCTATTAAATTAGCAAAGTTAAAAACACTTTAATGTGTGTTGATGGTAACAAGCTACGACACTGTGGCTAGAAGTGTAAATTGGTTTCAAAACAAAAAACAAAAAACAAAAAACGGGCAGCCAAGGTGGCTCAGTGGTTTAGCGCCACCTTCAGCCCAGGGCGTGATCCTGGAGACCTGGGATCGAGTCCCACGTCGGGCTCCCTGCATGGAGCCTGCTTCTCCCTCTGCCTGTGCCTGTTCCCCTCTCTCATTTTCTCTCTCTCTCTCTCTCTCTCTCTCTCTCTCTCTCTCTCTGTCTCTCATGAATAAATAAAATCTTTAAAAAACAAAAAAACACTCTCTGGGGGTCCCTGAGTGGTACAGTCGCTTAAGCGGCAGATTCTTGGTTTCAGTTCAGGTCGTGACCATAGGGTCATGAAATAAAATCCCATGTGGGCTCCATGCTCAGTGCAGAGTCTGCTCTGGATTCTCTCTCCCTTCCCTCTGCCCCTCTCACTCATGCAAGTTCACAGGCTCACTTGCTCTCTAATAAATAAATCTTATTAAAAACAAAAAACAACAATACACTTTCTGGGAAATAATTTGGCAACAGGATCAAGCATCTTGAAGTTTGACTTTTTGACAGTGAAATCTACCTCTACGAATCTATGCCTAGCCAATAATCTGACATGCAGGGTACGGCTGCCATATAAAAGAGCCTGTCATGGCCCCAAGCTGGAAACCGCGAATATACCAAGTACCAGTGTGACGGAGTAAATCCCCTGCCCCCATCACTCCTCTGCTCAGAACCCCCATGGCTAGGGATCTCTGGGTGGCGCAGGGGTTTGGCGCCTGCCTTTGGCCCAGGGCGCGATCCTGGAGACCCGGGATCGAATCCCACATCGGGCTCCCGGTGCATGGAGCCTGCTTCTCCCTCTGCCTGTGTCCCTGCCTCTCTCTCTCTCTCTCTGTATGACTATCATGAATAAATAAAAAAAACAAATTAAAAAAAAAAAAAGAACCCCCATGGCTTCCCATCTTACTCAGAGTCAAAGCCAATGCCCAGTGAGGCCCTGAGAGTGGAGGGGGCCCCACCTCCTCCTGCTACACGGCCTCCCCGTAGCTCTCTCTTCCCTGGGTATCCACGGTCCCTCATCTCCCTCCATCTGCTCTTCATCTGCTCCTGGAAACCTCCCACTTTACTCCCTGCTTGACTCTTCTCCATCTGACACGTGCGTGTGTGCGTGCGTGCATGCGTGTGTATTTTCTCTCTCCCCACTTCCAGAACATAAGCTCCATGAGGGGAACAATTTTTTTGTTTTACATCACTGCTTAGAGCCCAGCATAGCTCCTGGCACAAAGAAAACCGTCCATCAACATCTGTTGAATAAATGAATGAACGAATGAATACCGGAGGGCACTACACATGTGTAGGCAGAGGTTACCCAGGCCTGTGGCTGGGAGAACAGAGCTGCACTCAGGCTCCTCCAGGGAAGGACTCGGGTCTGGAACAGAGCACAGCTGTGCTAAACAATTAACACAGCCACTAAAAATGACATTCACACGTTTTTAATGACTTGGAGAAATCTTTATGATATGAAGAGTAGAAAATGCAAGACTTAAATTTCATGGACATTTTCAATACAGGAGGCATCTTTTTAAGGTCTAGAAGAGGCATTAAAAAAATGGGGCCACCGGACCTTTCCAAGAGTGTGACTACAGCCCCGGCCCCCACCTGTGCCCCCATCCTGTGGTCCCCTCTTCTGCCCTACTTTCGAAGGCCAAATACCTGGGCCTCCTGCTGGCCTTGGGCTCACAGCCCTCCCCAGCACTAAGGGAGACAGTGGCTTCTTTTTTGGGTCTTGCATACTTATTCCTCTCTCCCTTCCCCAGAAACCGCCAGGATTTTTTGCTCACTGAATTCTCACTCATACCAGATCCTACAAGAAACAGGAGAGCCAAGTACAGGCAAAAAGAGTGGGGTGTGTTGACACCCACGCCCTACCCTAGCCTCGGGGCCCACTGGCTCCTTGTCCCACACCCAGAGCGTAGCCCCCCAAGCGACCCCCAGGACAAATCCTTTTCCCAGGCATCTATGTCTGGAGCAGGGACACGCCATCTCCCAGCAGCTTATGTCAGGGGGCTGCCAGGCATGCTGAGTCTAAAAGGAAGGTCCCACGGCCACAGCTGGGCCATGTGAAAGAAACATGAGGATAGACTACAATGTCTGATTGTCTGATGTGGGTGCGGGAAGAAGGCGGCGGGGGTCGGGGGGCATGTTTCTGCCATTCTTGGTCTATAGCCAGCCAAGAAGCTGTTGGCATCCTGTATTTACCTCCTGCCTCCACTCCAGGGGTGCAGTCACCTGCACATGATTCAGAGAATGAAGACATTCCCCCTCAACAGAAACCAGACCCCCCCCCCCTTAACCAGCTTGCAGACCAATGCTTTAGCTACTGCACCACCATCCCTCCGCCCTGAGGACAGGGGATAAATCTTCAAGACCATACCCAGGCTCTTGGCACCCAGAGCCATCAGACTTTCCCCGCCCAAAGATCTTAGGATAAAAAAATCCTGGGGATCCCTGGGTGGCGCAGCGGTTTGGCGCCTGCCTTTGGCCCAGGGCACGATCCTGGAGACCCGGGATCGAATCCCACGTCGGGCTCCTGGTGCATGGAGCCTGCTTCTCCCTCTGCCTGTGTCTCTGCCCCTCTCTCTATCTGTGTGACTATCATAAATAAAAATAAAAATTAAAAAAAAATAAAAAATCCTTCCTGGTCCTCTCACCTAGTTAGTTAAATCCCAGTCTCTCACCTAGGTCAAGTCTCAATTCCACTAAGTCTAGACATTCTAAATCAAGTGCAGTACTGGAAAGCCCAAGGATCTACTCTAATCCCTCCTGGATGTACGGAGGTCCCTTGCCCTCAGCCTCCACCTGAACACCTTCAGGAACAGGGGCCATATACCCCTCCAGGGCACCCATTCCATTCCATGCCCATAGGTCCTTCCCGTTATCCAGAATCAGCCTGTCCACGGGGTCTCCCGGGCCTGGCGGTGCCCCTCAGGGGCTCATGAGAGTCTAGTCCTGCACCGTGTGATAATCCCCCTGTGATAATCCCACCGTGAGGTCTTGCCCACGCTGGGCCTGCTTCCCTCAGCCCAGAATGTTCTTCAGGGTAACCAGCAGCATCTCTCCCCGCCCCAACCCCTACGAGAGCTCATTCCAAGTGATCTGCTCCACTGCCTTTTATTTTATAGTCTAGAGCAGTAAACTTCATTTCATTAAAATAAACAAAACCCATTTGTGGCCTCATCCAGTTTCCTGGCACAACAGAGCAGTCACCCCAGCATGATCTTAGCACTCAGTATGAAACGGGAGAGGTGATTTCAAAGCGGAAGGCTCAGCCTAACGCACAGACTCCCTAGGGCAGTGAGAAGAGAAGGATTATCTCATGTTGAAGGAGCCTTTCCAAATCTTTAAAGAAGCGAGGCCTGTGTGAAAAAGAAAAAAAATTAGAAAGCTGTGGCCAGCTAAGCTGACTTTCCGGAAGGTTGAGGTGCTGCATGGAGTTTATGCCCAGACCTGTCTTTGCTCCTCACCCTCTGCTGGAGCAAGCGTAGCCAAGCTGACCCGCCACTCCGTGGCTGAGGAAAAAGCAGACAGGAAAGTCTTGTCCTCAGCCCCCACGCACCGCATCTGGAGTGATGGGAAGAGGTTCAGACCCCAGCTCCAGAGCCCAGACTCCCAGGTTCAGCCTGGCTCTGCCACGTGGAAGCAGTCTGGCCCAGAGACCGTGCTCAACCACACCACCTGCTTCCACCCTAGCGACTATTCTAAACCTCGGCTGCCTTGATTATAAAATGTGGCTGCTGATGGTCACCCTACAGGCCTGCTCACAAGTAGATGGGGACAGCATCCTGTCTAGCCAGACAAAGAGCTGGAACCAAGTGCTATTCTCTCCCACCTTCCCCTTTGGACTTCAGTTTTGTTTTTAATTTGTGAGGTAGCTATTTAATTTTTCTTTCTAAAAATCTGGATTTCTGGCTTCTTTTGAAAAACTGGAAGATCTAGCAATGCTGGACCTGTATTCCCAACAGATGATTAGATCTGCATGGCAGGTGCCCCACTTAGGACGTGCTACCCCCAGTTCTCCACAATCCCCACCCTTCCCTACCACCACCCCTGCCCCCCCATACATCCTTTACTTGCCCCTGTGGGCATGTGAGCTTGCACCAGACCAGCTGAGCGCCACCTTCTTTGGTTTCCCAGCCCTGCTTAGTTGAAACTTTTTCAGCCAAGTCTTTAATCTTCCCTAACAGAGCAAACTACTCTTTTCTTCTTATTAAGAAGCAGAGAATATGTCCCCACTCACAAAACAAGTACCCTGCTATGTGTGAGTCCTTTGAACATTTTCTGAGCACCTGCTGTGTGTGTCACACTGTTAGGAGCTAGCGCCACACAGACGTGGAAGGCATCAGCTTCAGCTGAAGGTGTGCTGGGACACATGGGGCACCACCCATGACTGCTCAAGTGTTAGCTTGTGTCCCCAGTAAGGTAGGGGTTGGCAAATTTTTTCTGCAAAAGTGTGATAGGAAATATTTTCAGCTTTGCAGGCCATTCGGTCACTGTCTCAACTATTCTGCCAATAGTAGCAGGAAAGCAGATAATTTTTACGAAAACCCATGCCAGCTGAATTTGACACCACGGCCTATTGTTTGCCAATACTGTGCTAAAATTTGTGTTTGATGTAGCAACATAAAATCCCTCAATTTCTAGGAAGAAAGGGGGGCAAGGGAGGGCTTTAAACTCATCAACCAGAAAACAGATCTGCTTCTATGATTTACTGGAGCAAGTCCTCCACCGTCTTCAAGAGGCCACTTTTCAGGGGCATTTCTTTGGTATCATACAGACCTGAGTTCTGGCTTTGCCACTTACCAACACTGGGATCTTAAGTAAGTTATTTCATCTTATTAGGCATGTGTTTCCTTCTCATCAAATGAGGATAATAATTAGAGCCACCAGAGAGTCTGTGAGAGGGTTCCAGGAGATCGCTGGTACAAAGGGCTTTGGCACAGTACCTGCCACAGCCTGTGTGCTCAGGGATCACAGCCGTGCACATACCTCCAATGATGAATGAACGGATAGAAACTTGTACTTTCTCTAGATTTCTGACACCACACAGCAGGGGCCCAGTGAGTCTCGTCTGAATCCATGGGGTGCAGTCCTGACACGGCCTGGCCACAACATTCCGTTCTAATCACTTCTACCCTCCCCAAATCCTTCAGTGCCATCACACTGCACACAAGACTGCCTCTTTTAAATAAGAACAAACTAACAACTATTTATATTGAGCTTTAAAAAAATTTTTTTCAAATGAAGGAAAAGAGAGTCAAGAAGCTAATCTGCAGAGAAATGCTATAAAGATTGTTCCTGAAGGCTTCTGGACATTGGTCTTCCCGGGGCTCCGTGGGGCCTCAGGGCAGCCTTCACCCTCCACCCAACCCGTGTCTGACACTCTCCAGGCAACAGAATTCCCTGCCTCGGGCAGCAAAGCAGACAGGCCTGTGGGTGAGGGAGGTGGCATGCCACTCTCACAGGATCTCATGGCACCAGGATTTGGTTGGAGGCGGTCAGCATCAAGGTGAGCCCTTGCTTTTCCAGGGAAGAAGTTGTGGAATAGTCAGGAAGGGCCTCTGAGTGGGAGGGCAGCCAGGCTGAGGCAGCAGGGAGTGATGGTCAAGGCAGAAGGAACTGCATATGCAAAGGCACCCAACCCCTTCTAATCCATACTGCTTGGCCTGGGGAGATGTGTGGGCACTTTAGATGTGGGGGGTGCTGAGACTAGATGGGAATCGTAGTTGTTAAATGAAGAATCCATAGGTTGACCAGATGGGGGTGCTGGCAGCCCCACTTCCAAATGCACCCAGGGGGTGTGGGAACCCAGGAGTCAGGGCAGAAAAGGCCAAGAGAACAGGAAGCAGGATATGAGGTGTGGTGGAGCAGCCAGAGAAGGCCTCACTCACCTTCAGCTCCAATGGACACGAGCTTGACACCCTTGCTGGCTATGAAATCCAGGGCCTTGTTGACGTTGGAGATCTTGTGCACTCTCATTTTGCCTCTCTCCGGCTTGGCCAAGCGCTCCCCTGAATACGGACCAAGAGGGAGGGGGGGGGGGTGGTCAGATGCTGTTTCCCAGGAGTGGGGCTGCTCTCATGATACCCTCACCCAGGTGCAGCTGAGTGCCCCTCCCACCACCACCAGCAGGGATCAACAGAGAGAGTGGACCCTGCCTTTCCTGCCACTTCTCAAACCTACCACTTGCCTCCACCCAACAGATCTGTAATTCAGCCCCACGTGTCAGGGACTTGGCTGGGCACTAGGAATACAGGGGTGAGCAAAACAGTTCCCTGCCTCCATGCGCTTACGGACCAGGAGGAGACAGACCTTCAACAGAGAGACACACAAATGTACGCACATGAACAAACACCGAGAAAGATAAATGCTTAAAAAGAGGATGCAGAGGAGGGCAGGTGGGGGATGAAGGAGTTGTGGAACAGTCAGGAAGGGCCTCTGAGTGGGAGGGCAGCCAGGCTGAGGCAGCAGGGAGTGATGGTCAAGGCAGAAGGAACTGCACACGCAAAGGCATCCAATCCCTTCTAATCCATACTGTTTGGCCTGGGGAGATGTGTGGGCACTTTAGAATATTCTGAAAAAGTTCCCTAGTGTTTACGTGGAGCTGCCCACAGTGTTCCTCTCTTACTCGAGAACCGCTGCCTCTCGTGGGCATCCTTGGCTCAGCTCTAAGACAACTCTCCACCAGCAGCCCACCCCCTCCTCCAACTCAGGTTCCAGGACCAGAAGCTGCAGGCAAAGAGCCAGTTCTCCAAACACCCCAGCAAGGGTGAGCACTTCCAGCTTACAACAGAGGCCCTCAGGGACCCCTTTTAAACTAAAACTAAGGGCAGGCTCCCTGCTCAGCAGGGAGTCTGCTTCTCCCTCTGCCCCTCCCCCTGGTCCTTCTCTCTCTCAAATAAATAAAACCTTTTAAAAAATAAATAAATAAATAAACTAAAACTAAAAATGGGTTATACGCATGCCCATAGCTGGGGAAGGGGCACATAGCTTTAGAGTCTCTAAAAGGCCAGAGACCCCAAAATGCTAAGAACTATCAGCCTGGAGTCCGAGACTCAGGACCCTTGCACCTGCCACAGTCTCCAGCCCCACCTAACCACACGTCCCCTCCCCGCCACACCCAGCACATTAGTAGCCTGGCTGAGAGCAGGGCAGCCACGATGTGGGAGCAGCACTTCTCCAGGGGGCCTCCCAACCCCCCAACTTCTAGAGAACAGACTTCCTGCCGCAGATATGATTAGGCCTGGCAGCTCCAGGGAAGCACAGCTGGGGTTTTATGATTAAATTAAGACTTTCCACTAGTGGTTCTCCCAAGGCTGTGGTCATTGCTTGGCCTCCCCAACAAGGTACTCTACCAAGCTCCTGGGCAGATGAAATGCCACAGGGACTCCCTCTCATAGGATGGATAAGGTGACACCCCATCCCACTCCCCCACCTTGCAGGCTGAAGGCTCTTCTGCTGAAGCCCCAGCCCTTAATCCTGCCAAGCACGGGCTCCCTAGCCAGCCCCCAACTGTACACACTGGCCAGCACAGGACTTCATTGGGACAGGGGAGGCAGCAAGGCCAGCAGTTCTCAAACTTCAGATACCCAGCCCCCTCTCCCTGCCTCCTAAGTTTTTGATTTACGAAGTTTGGGGTGAATGTGCAGGTGGAGAAGCGGTCCCGTGGGTTCTGGTGTCAGTAGTCCAGGGACACCACTTAGAGGACCTTGAGGGGCAGCCATCCCTTCCTTCTGTCATTCTACCCACCTCAAAGACGTTCGAGGACGAAATGGCAACATCTTAGTGACTCAATGTCCCCCACTCCAGGGGAAGAGACAAGCCCCCTTCACAGACGTGCACAGGTCCCCCTTGGGCACAGGCCCACCTGTTCAGTGGTGGTTATGCAGAAAAGCCCACTTCAGGGCATCTGGTCACTCTGATATTTGTTGAGCATCACATACATGCCAAGTACAATCCTGAGCACTTGGGACACAGAGATGAGACCATCCCGTCCCCCCAAGCAGCTCAGGGTGAGATGGGGAAAAGAACAAATGGGCCAAAAATGATCATGCTGTGGGAAAACTGACATGACCAAAGAATTAATGGGATGTTACAGGAGCCCAGAGTTGAGCAGCCACTCTTATGGGGAAAGCTTTCCTGGACAGAAACCCTGAGCTGAGTTTTAAAGAATGAAAAAGAATACTAGGTTTGTTTAAACTAAGAAATGTTGGAAGAGGAGGCAGTGAAGGACATTCTAAAAGGAAAGGCAGTTAGAGGAAAACAGTATGGCAGTAGCTAAAAAATATTAAACACAGAATTACTATATGATCCAGCAATTCCACTTCTGGGTTTATACCCAAAAAACTTGAAAGCAGGGGCTCAAACAGGTAGATGTACACCTGTGTTCACAGCAGTGCTTTTTGCAATAACCACAAGATAGAAGCAGCACAAACGTCCAAGAGAAGATGAATGGATAAACAGAATGCGGTATGCACCTGCAACGAATATTAGCCTTAAAAAGGAAGGAGAGCCTGCACATGGATGACCCTGCAAGACGTCACGATGAAATAAGTCACAAAAGGACATATACTGGATGAGTCCACTCATACGAAGTGCTGAGAACAGTCAAACAGACTAAGAGAAGGGTGACTGCCAGGGGCTCAAGGGAGAAGGGAATGGGCAGTCGCTGTTTCCAGGGCACGGAATCTCCGTGCAGGATGACAGAGAGGTCTGCAGATGGTTGGCGGTGGCTGCACAGCAATGTGAATGTACTTAGTACTTAGTGAAATCGAAAATGTTCAAAATGCTAAGTTTCATGTTCAGTAGATTTCTACCACGCACACACAACCCCCCAGCCCTACCCCCACCCCACAACACACAGATTTCACCTGCAAGTGGATATTTCAAAGTGTTGGGGAACAAGTCAATTGGAGCTTCTGCAGAAGTGCAGAGAGCGTGTCCGTGGTGAGGACTGCCTGTCTCTTGGGGTGGCAGAGGGCCTGAGGTCTGATACCTTTTTGGGAAGTCAGTTGAACACAAAACAGGTGCCAGCTCACAATGGATCCTGCAAGCTATACTAAGGAATGTGGGCTGCAGGCTTCGAGCCCTGGGAAGGCTCTGAAGGGTTCTAAGCAGGGAACAGCGAGACCATATTTGGGCCGTCAGATGGCCTCTCTGGCTGCAGTGTGGGTGATGGGACTGTGGCGGTGTAGAAGGAGCTGGGAGGGGGTCAAAGGCCTCTGCGGATCATTGGGGTAAAGCTGATGCAGGCCCATACTGACACCACGCAACAGAAGTTAAAAGGTAACAGAAGAAGGAAATAGAATGAACATAACCTGAATGCCAAGTTGGCAAGCAAAGCAGAGGAAGAGCTGTCTCTAATTCCTACATTAGGTTCGGGAGAAGATGATTAAGATAATAGGAGGAGGGACACCTGGGTGGCTTAGCGGTTGAGCATCTTCCTTCATCTCAAGGCCTGATCCCAGGTCCGAGGATAGAGTCCCGCAACAGGCTCTCTGTGAGGAGCCTGCTTCTCCCTCTGCCTGTGTCTGTATTACTCATGAATAAACAAATACGATCTTGGAAAAAAAAAAAAAAAGATTATAGGAGGAAAGAGATCTGTCAGGGCCAGGGGTAGTCTTGGGCATGCTGGGGAGCGGGGGGTGCTGTGGGACATCTGGGTCTATATGGGGCCTGAGGGAAAAGGCTGGACTGCGAGGAAGTCTGGGACTCACTGGCATCAAGGCAGAAGGTAAAGTGAAGAGAGTAGCTAAGATCACCCAGTGTATAAACCAAGATAAGAATGTTGGAACTATCAACCTCTAAGGAATGGTGGAGGAAAGGTATTCATAAGAAAGAGGAGCTCTGCATTCAAGAGGAGCTGTCCCTCCAGATTTCTGGACATCCAGATTCTACACTGGAGGCCAGATAAGGAAGCGGGATCCTCTAGATAAAGGAAGAGAGGGACTAGTGAAGCCACAGTTTAGAGATGGTCAGTCATGGTTACATGATGACCATGCAGTCCTAGCACTCTGGAGGGGAAGGGACCTCTGAGACTACCCTTCAAACTGCCTCTTTGTGCAAATGAGAGTGCTGAGGCAAAAAGGCAGTGACTTGTCCAAGGACGTGTGGATGGCTGGCAGCAGAGCTGGGACCAAACGCAGCCTCCTAGTCTGAATTCACACATGTCGCCCACAACTTCTTTCAAGAGACCCAAAGCTCACCATGACCAAAGGCAGAGCAGAAGCAGAGATGTCAGGGCAGCATTCCCAAAGTGGCCGAACCCAGCAGGCAGCACCTCGTCCTCGGCCAGGGTGGCCCACCTCACCTGAGATGACCTCCAGCAGCAGCATGAGCTTCAGTCCATCCCGGAAGTCCTCCTCGATGTTCTCGATCTGCGTGCCCGCCTTGCGGAGGTGGGAGTTGCACCATGCTGTGAACGTCTGGGCAAAGGAAAGAAGAGCAAGCAGTCAGGCTCCCCATGAGTCACATGGTCTCTGAGCCTTCACAGGGGCCCCAGTGGGTCTCCAGGACCTACCTGCCTCATGCCCTCTCCAATTGCTGTGTGTAAGGCGTGGGTGGGCACACGTGGGATGGACAACGCAATACCCTCTAGTGACTCCCCTCACAGTTCGAAGGGCCAGCAATTTACCTCTTCAATAAGGCTTTGTTTCCATCATCACAGTTACAAAAACCCCAGAGGTAACAGATTAAGCCTTTATTAATTAATCAGGGCAAATTCATTCATTAAATCTTGGTCCATTTGGCAGCTGGCTAAGGGAAAGAATTAGTTAAGTCCTGCTGGACTCAAGAGTTCAGAGGCCCAGAATCAGGACAAGGAGAGAAAGGCGAGGACCCCAATGCGCACTATGTGGGTCTGGCATCAGGGTGCAAAGCACCTCAAGCTGCAAAGGTGTGAGGAAGAATTCCAGAAAGGGCATCTAAGGAGACTAAATGAAAGACCATCTCTATTGTGACTTTCTAGTCTGCAGGATAGGGGGTAGAGGGTGGGGATAGGGGGGCAGCAATGGCTGAAATGGCTTCTGGAATAACCAAGCAGTCCCATGCCAACAGCACCACCTCGTGGCTCACACAAGGAACAGGGCGACTCAAAAAACAGAAAAGCCTGTGCTTTCCCAGGCTTTTCCCAGGCCCGCCCAAAATGTGGGCAGGGGTTGCTCCCCTGCTGTCACGTTCCATGGGAAACAGAAAGAGGGGCTCTCTAGTTTCAGAACCAAACTACTTCTTGGCAACTCCAGGCATCTATGCACCAAATGTCACTCTCAACTACACAGGGGCTCAAGAGCTCGTGTCCGGCTCTCCTCCCACCCGCCCCGCAAAGTTGCAACGGTGAGCAGTGAGTTACTCAAGCAGTAGCAGCCACCCCAGAACTCCCCCTTCTCCTAAGAAAGGTCATCAGACACATGACCCCCTTCCCCCACCACTTCCTCTTGCCCTGGGGAACAAAGGGAAGTGGCAAAGAACAGGCAGGAGGGAGGAACACCATACCATTAGGGGTAAAGAAATGGCTGCTTAGGTTTATAAGCAAGAGTTGAAGAGCCTGTGGGCAAGAAGAGATGGTATCAGTCCAGCAGGTGGAGAGGAGGAGGCAGCATTAGGATACCCCCAAGTCTGGGCCTCATCTTTAAATCATGCTTCACGGGCAGCCTGGTGGCTCAGCGGTTTAGCGCCGCCTTCAGGCCAGGGTGTGATCCTGCATGGAGCCTGCTTCTCCCTCTGCCTGTGTCTCTGCCTCTCTCTCTGTCTCTGTGTCTGTCATGAATAAATAAATAAAATCTTTTAAAAATCAATCAATCAATCAATCAATCATGCTTCACTAGGAATTCACCAAGATAGGTGACTTCTCCCTCCCGACAAACACTGTTCCAACTCTGTGGATCAGTCTGCTCCCGTGACAGCAAAGAGGCATGTGTATGCTATACAAAAGCTTCGGGAATACTGGCATACAGACTGAGGGTGGGCAGGGGATATACACTCATCCTCAACCTGGAATGTCCTCCATGTCATGCTTGGCTAGCTCACTCTCATCTTCCAAGATCAGGCTAAGATATCACCTCCTCCTGGAAGCCTTCCTAAAAGCCAGCCATGACAACATCTGGGTTGGGGGCACAGAACCCAAAGCACTCTGTGCCCACTCCATCATTGCCCATATCCCACCATTGCATGGTGCTTGCTGACCACTTGTCAGAATGGGAGCTCCTGAGGGTGTGAACTCAGAGCTCTTCCTACTAGAGTCCCAGGGCACAGAGTCAGGCACACAGCAGTGAACAAAAAAGCAAAACCCCTGTCCTATGCAGCAGACATTCTAGTGGATGGAAAAATTGGGTAACTGGGTGAAGGAGCCAGTGAGGAATTCATGCAAAGTCAGGGGTGAGGGGGTCCTGGAAGCCCCAACTGCACCTGTGGATGATGCCGGATGGTTATCGGGGCAAGGGGTTGATGGACCAAATAGCACCCTCGGGGAACCTCCAGAAGTGTAAGTAAGCTCAGAGGAAGAAAACTTACTGGGTGACCTTCCTCTAGTGTTGGCACTGTAACCTGGCAGGAGACCAGAGGTTACTTAGCCTCTCTTTTCATTTTGTTAAGACTTTTTTTATTGCAAAAAATATTAGAGGGGCGCCTGGGTGTCTCAGGTGGTTAAGTGTCTGCCTTCAGCTCAGGGTCCTGGGACTGAACCCCACGTCAGGCTCCCAGCTCAATGGGGAGTCTGCTTCTCCCCATTGCTCGTGCTCTCTGTCTCATCATTTCTCTCTCTAATAAAATCTTTAAAAAATATATTAAGAGAATTTATCTTGAAGAGAATTTATTTTGTGGTTCCATATTCTCTCCCAGCTGGGACCTACCCCGGTGTCAACATACTGTATATATCTGGGGGGAGGGTGGCTTTTCTCATTTACCACCATCTGGAATTTCCACAGCGCTTGCCCTCCTCTCCCTTCCAGGCCCGCACTCAGTCTCTGCCCGAGGTTTTCTACACACTCAAGGTGAATTGGACCCCCGCCTGCACCCCTCCCTTCCCCACAGCAGGGAATAGTTTCAGGTCCCATCTGGCCAAGGTCCTGGTGGGAATCACCTGCATCTTGGCCCAGCGGGGAGCTGTGAAATCTGTTTATCACTCAGTTGTGGAGAGGGGCTGGGGACAAGAGGAAGAAGAGGCAGGTTTTGAAAAATATATACTGCTTTTGCAAGAGGAAAATGCTGCTGAAAGCAGCCAGCCGCATTTCCTGGGGAAGCCAGGTTCCAAGCTCTGGAAGACAGAAATGCACCTGTGTTTGCTCACGGCTCCCACACAAAGGCCTGCTTCTGAGGCCTCCAGCTGCACGGCATTGCACTGGGTTAAATCCCTGGGTCTCCTATCCTCAGCCCGCAGGGGACTGCCTTGAAGGGGCGGGTGAGCACCTCCCACGCAGCTCAAGCAGAGGTAGGGCACAGTGGAGATAACCGGGTCACTGAGAACATGCCTGTTGGGGCGCACCAGATCTGGGTTTGATGCCCAAATCGACCATGTGCCAGCTGAGTGACTTTGAGATTACCCTCCCTAAACTTTAGCTCCCTGACCAGTGAAAGGGAGACAGTGAAAGCACTTTATAAACCCAAGAGGATTAGCTAGAAAACACTCATGAAATGCCTGTCACTTAGAAAGCGGGGAAGGAAAAGCAGCTCCCCTGAAACCTACCGGTGGTTTCACTGCTCTGCGCCCCCCAGCCTGCAGCCACCTCCCTGCCCTAAGCCACCAAACTCTGTCTGGGTCCCACTCTGAAACTAGTGCCCGAGCTCCACAATGACACCCAGTGTGTCTGAGAACTCTGATGTATTATGGGGAAGGACTAAAATTGTTGTATACAGTACAGAACACCTGTGATTTGGCTTTCTCCGCAACAGAGAAGAAACCAAAGGGGTAACGGAGTGGGGAGGAGCGATGTGGGCTTCCAGGCACACCACGCAGCTATCTCCTCTTGTCCAGCTACAACCCCACCTGTTGTGTCTGAGACTGAAGATTCATGGTTCCCTGGCCGGGGCAGTCCTCCACAAGCTCCTCAGTAAAGAGTTTAATAAACTGGATTCATAACATAGAGATCAAGTAATTTCCACCAGAAACGCGAAGGGTGGAGATGTCCCAGTTGCTGGTGAAGATGCACAAACAGATCTTGGTCGTGAGCTTCAAGCCCCTTAGCAGTGCCCCAGGGGTTCAGCAAGGAGGAAAAGCCAATAGCCACAGGGATGCCCCTGGCTAGAGACCCAGGGCCCCATGGCCTCCAGCCCAGACAGCCCAGCACAGTGAGTAGTGCCACCCCAGAAGGACTATCATCCAGCCTCATTCAAATGAAGGGCAGGGGGCCAATTCATTGCCTTGGTCCCAACACCACCTCACCCTATCAGACCTTCTCCTTGCTCCAAGAGCCTCATCACTGGGTCCTTCTTCAGCTCCCAGTCTAAAAAGATAGAAGCTGTTAATAGGGGGCACCTGGGTGGCTCAGTTGGTTAAGCATCTGCCTTGGGCTCAGGTCATGATCCCAGGGTCCTGTGTTGAGCTCCCTACTCAGTGGAGAGTCTGCTTCTCCCTCTCCTTCTCCCCCTCTCTCTGCTTGTGCTCTCTCTCAAATAAATGAAATAGAAAGAAGAAAGAAGAAGAAGAAGAAGTTGAAGTTGTTGCTGATGGGCCTTTGGCAGATGCACTCTGCTGCAGAAATGGGCTTAGGGATGCAGGGAGGTCTCAGGAAATGGGCTTGGGGTCGCTGCTGGAAGTGCTTGCAGATTCCCTTTTCCATTTCACCCTCCTCCTGCTGCAACCTCTGAGGGTGCTAGGGGAGAGGAAGGGGCTGACAGAGAATATGGACCCCACTCAACCTCTCTCTGAGCTTGAATCATCTACCCATATCCAATCTGCATATCTAGCCCTATCTAATGAACAGGGTTGAAATTCAGGGCTGTGAATAGGCTTGGCCAGGCCCCAAGTATACAGTGGAGGGGACAGACAGACACATCATGACAGGGGAGGAGGGGGAGGGTGCTTGAGCTCAGGCTGAGTTCCATGGAGCTGGCCATGGAGAAGCATCTTTGTCTACCTTCTCTAAGGGTCTCACAGTCCTGCTGCCACAGAGAATCCTCTAACATCTTTCCATTATATCTTTAACAAGTACATATGTCCTTTACAACGTGTTGAGAAGGCAAATGGCTTTTGAGAACATGCTGTCCGCCAGTCCCAGCTCAGATGCGCTAGAATGTGACCCTAGTCACACGGGCCTACTTGGGCCTGTTTTCGAATCTGTAAAATGGGGACAGATGATGGCATCCACCAGGCAGAACTGTGATGAAAATTAAGTAAGTAAAATTAGAGCATAAAAATATTATAAAAAAGAGATTAACCTTAATATTGCTAATTTATGTTAATAATGATATTAATGTTTGAAATACAGCAAAC